ATGAGCTGTATGATCTGTGTGAGTCACTTAACCTCTCTGTGCATCAGTTTCCTAGGCTGTACAATGGGTATAAAATGATATCCGACTCCCAAGTATTGCCTGGATTCACAAGTGTTAGTGCTTGAGATGTTATCAGTCTTGCTAAACAGAAAGTGTTTCCCAGGCTATCTCTCTCCAGCCTGAGTGTGGATGTGGGGGCAGAATAGGAACAGGAGCTTCTGAGGCTTTTGCTGCGCCTAGCAGCCTTTTGGAAGACACATGCTCTTCCCCAGAGGTGCGTCTCGAAGCATAGTAGCTACCTAGAAAACACAACCCAGGAGGGGACAGGAATCTACCCATGGCAGGAATCTACCCTTCTCTCTCTTCCTGGGTCATTGTGGCACTGATGGAATCCTGTGGTTCAGGAACACAAGAGCCTGACCACAAAGCTGGAGGTCATAAAGGGCAAGGCCAGCATGAAAGTAATGAACCAGAACTTGGGAGTCTGATCTGCACCCTGGTGTCACTCTTAAGTGTGTGGTAGTGGCATCAGCCTCTGTGCCTCAGTTTCCCCTTCTGTGCCTGTTTGCACCACAGGTGAAGATGAACATTTCAGCTCTGATTGTTTCTGGGGCATGACCTCACCACATAACCCTTGCCATTGCTGCTGTCACCTGCTCCCCAGAATCTACTCATCTCCCCATTTCCTGCCCCAGTGTGCAGGAACACTGCTTCCCCGAGGCCAGCGCCCTCACTTTCTCAGCCTGGGCACTGTTGGCATTTGGGATTGGGTAGCTCTCTGTTGGGGTCCTCAGCCTCTCTCTCCCTCAGCCACAGTTCCATCTTTCCACCTCTCCATCTAGTATGGCCTCCAGGATGCAGGGGTGGGGCTCACTCCAGAGAATATTTCCCTGCCCATGCCACACTCCTCTTGAGACTTTGCACCTCTCGCTACCTTCGTACAGATACCTGGGCACAACTGCCAGAGCCCGTTTTGCTTCTGAGCCAAGCTGAGCAATGCATTCGGTGACTGCAGGGCACATGCATGTGAGTGCTTACAGTAAACACACACACACACACACACACACACACACACACACACACTCACAGCCCCTTTTCTTCTGCAACTTTCCTTGCCCCAGCCTGTCTACCTTGTTCCTCCTCAAGTACCCTTTCTTCTAAGATTCACGCCCAGCATCCCCTTTCTGTGGACTCAGTTCCCCAATGCCTACCCTAATGGGAGATTTAAATTTTTATTTATTCAAGTTTATTTATTGTATATGAGGTGTTTTTTTTTGTTTTTGTTTTTGCCTGCTTGTATGTAAGTGCACCGTGTGCATGCAGTGCTCACAGAGGCCTGAAGAGGGTGTCAACTCCCTTGGAACTGGAATTACAGAGGATAGTGAGCTGCCATGTGAGTGTCGTGACCTGAGCCCAGGTCCTCTGCAAGAGCAGTCAGTGCTCTTAACTACTGAGCCATCTCTCTAGTCTCCACCTAATGGGAGATTTATCCCAAAGAACCACCATGCTTTATTGATCAAGGGCTTGAGAGTAGATGTTATACCTTATGCCTAGTTCCCAGTCATTGCACTATGCATTTATTGAATATCCACTGCTTATTTGATGTGCTGGGTGCTAGGAAAACCCAAGAGAAAGGTGGTCTCCATCTCCACCTCTGATCAAGGTTAGGCTATTGGCAAGAAAGAGAATGCTAAAGTGCCTCAGGAGAAATAGCATCAAAAATGTGTGCAGAGTGCTGGGAAGATCTAGGGTGGCACGTGGCAAACATTTATACAGAAAGTGGATGAGTAAATGAGTTAGTTCTGCCTTTGCCTGACCTGGGTTTGAGTAGTTTTGTGATCTTTGATTAATGTGGCAAAGCTCTTGATGAAGAGCCTGAGTAAGACAACCCCTGCCCCCAGGTCAGTGAGGGACATTTCTCCAGATGCCCACAAGGGGGCACAGGGCTCTGAGTACTCTGGGGAATCCCTGTGGGCTAACTGGAGGGGAAAAATTTGTAGAACTGTATTAATTCAACTGTGAACCTAAAAATTTACAGCCACTTTTGAAAGAGATGTATCCTTGCTCTGGAAATTGTTACTGAATATGTTAAAGCTGTAATGAAATGCTTCCTCTAATCATGTGGTAATTAAATAGAAAGGAAAGGAAAGGAGGGAGGGAGGGAGGGAAGGAGGGAAGGAAGGAAGGGAGGGAGGGAGGAAGGAAGGAAGGAAGGAAGGAAGGAAGGAAGGAAGGAAGGAAGGAAGGAACCAAACCGGGGTGCCAGAGGTAGTGACAAGCACCCCAGAGCCCCTGACCAGGCCATCCAAGGACTGCTTTCCTCACAGAATGGCAGAGGCAGGGAAAGAATGAGTTTGCAGCATCCCCCACCATCCCACTGTCACTCTTGTCAAGCTGCTGTCCTTCCATGGCTGTTCCAGAGCCACTCAAGGGGCTCTCATCTTCTAGACCCCAAACCTTCTAGTCCCTTCTGTAGGCATTGCTCTGGAAGACTCTGGAAGGAATTAAGAACAGGATTTTGGGACCCATTTATCTTTCTTTCTTCTACTGTGGTAGGCACAGGCCTTGGTTGGGTGCTGCCTACTCCTGCCTACCTAATAAATGCTGATTCTCAAACTTCAGCATCACCTGGGGAGCAGGATCCCACCCGAAACCCCTAATAAGAAACTCAAGGTGGAACCCAGTGATCTGTCTTAATGAATTCTTCAGGTGACTCTAAGCATGTTATACCATGGATCTAGGACAAAAAAGGGGTGAATGGAATGTAGTTGGTTCCAGCCCCCACCTTCTCCTGGCCAGCTTTGGAGTCAGCTAGAGTTTGCCACTGAAGGGGTTGCCTGGTGCCATCTCCTCTTTCGACTAACAGGGCCTATCTTCATGGCATCCTGGGGTAGACAGGAGCATCCTTTCTCTGAGGGTGGGTCCTTTCAGGATGGATGCTGGAGAAAGGTTGGCAAGACCTGCCTCCTCTCCTGCCCTGACCCACCAGTGGCCAAGCCGCTTCCTCTCATGGTAAACTTCCTTTGTGGCCAAGGTCAAGAGCAGCTTGGGTGTGGAAAGACAAAGGAATAGGATAGAGCGTTGACCACACATGGTGCTGTAGAAGGCCTTCATGCCTGCCTTTCAATACAGTGGCTACTAGCCAGTTTCTGCATCTGAAAATTCAACCAGTTGAAGATCTACCAACTGCATCTTACTGTTAAAAACTGCATCTGTACTGAACCGTACAGACTTTTTTCTTGATATTATTCCTTAAATGATACAGCAGAGCACTATTGGGAGTATTAAGTGTTGTAAGTCTAAAGATGACAGGAGGATATCTGTAGGTTATATGCAAATACTGTTCTATCTTAATAAGAAAATCCATGAGTTTTGTCATCTGCAGGAGGCCTGAAACCAAACTCTACCCCTGTACCAGATATTGAAGGACAGTCATACCTTCAATCTGTGGGTTCCGTGATTCTTCTTTCTTTCCACATGCATGCCAGTGTGTGTGCTTGTATGCACATTCGTGTGCATGAGACCAGAGGAAGACGTTGTGCCCCTCTCTCTCATTCTGCCTAATTCCCTTCAGACAGCATCACTCACTGAGCTTTGGGAGACCCTCTCCTGAGACTGGGCATGAATCACTGGCCCTACCCCCAGCAGAAGCTGCAGGCCAGGGCTCTTCCACCTTGACTGTGACTCTGACATGCCAGTCCCCTTTCTACTATGTCAAGCTTCTCTCCAGTGCAGGAACCGCCCCCCCCATCTCACCAAAGGCAGATGTCCCCCTGTACCTCCTTGGCTCTTCTCCCAGGCCTGTGAAGCATGGCTATGGCCTCTGGCACCTAGTGGGTAAGGTGGGGGTTCACTGACTGCCAGCCATTCTCCTGCCATTAAGCCAGATGTCATGTCTAGAGGTCCCTGGGCCTGATTCAGCCTTCAGACAAGTTTGTTGGACTTACATGGTGTTACTATTATTTTAAACCTTGAATTAATTGCCATCACTGAAAACTCAAGACAGTTCTCATACAAACCCTGACTTCAGCTGACCTGGAGTTAGCCCGTAATCTAGCCACATGGTTGGGGAATCTTAACCTGCTCATGAGCCATGTCTCCACAGCCTGGAGCCTCTGCCCAAAGTAGAGGTTGTTTTCCTCCTGTCCTAGTTGAAGATTCTGGTGTCATAGGGATGCCTGACTGTTCACAGTACTGTCTCCCAAACCCAAGGAGCTCATCTCTTTAAAACTCAGACTTTCCCACCTCAGTAAATACCTGGTCTGTGAGAATAGGTTGAAGGAGGATCCCAGGCTAGAAGCCATACTGACAGGAGCATCAGCAAGGCCACTTCCACAGAGCAGGGACAGCCAGGAAGCACCTCACATATGGCAGGGACAAGCAGTAACTGTGACAACCCAGAAACTTCAGCCCTGTACTCCCCTTGATGAGGGCCAGCCATAAGCCTGCACCTTGGGTTATAATTTTAACCTGCAGATGTTTGTATAAGAGGCATCATAAGATAACCCCTCACCTCCAACCTCACCTGCTTCTGAGTCAGGTCAGTTCTTGGGCCTCCTCTTACTCTCTTGGAAACAAATCAGCTTACCAGCTTCTAGAACTATTCCACACAGGAAATAACAAATACACATATATTATCCCGCCTTTTCATACAAATGGAACACACCAAATACTAGTCTATGTCCTGCGTGCTGTGCCTACCACCCCCATCCCCCACTTATTAGTATATTCTGGTACTTTCCCTAACAATATATATGAAGTTTATCACTGTGGCATTCATTTATTTAGTTTTCATTGTTTGTATTCATTGCCCATGGAGCTGTGTTTCATGAGGTCATTTTCATACAAGCATATGTTGTAATTGAATTTACCCCACCCCCCAGTACCCCCTTACCTATTTCTCCTCCCTCCCCACTCCTGTCCCCTTCCTCCACTTAGTCTGGCTTCTGCCCTCATGTCATAAATACATACATGTATCCTTCCATACAACCTCATAAATGCCTTCTTAAAAATTATTTATTTATTTATTTTCTGTGTGACTCTTTTAGAGTGTGTGCATGTGTATAAGTGCACCTATGCATGCAGTGCCCATGGAGGCCAGAACAGGGCATCAGATCCCCTGGAACTGGAGTTACAGATGGTTGTTAGCCTCCACGTAGGTGCTGGGACTCAAACCTGGGTCCTCTGCAAGAGCAGTGCTCTTAACCTCTGAGTCATCTCTCCAGCCCCTCACATATGCCTGTGTGTGTGTGTGTGTGTGTGTGTATATGTGTGTGTGTGTGTGTGAGAGAGAGAGAGAGAGAGAGACAGAGACAGAGACAGAGACAGACAGACAGAGACAGACAGAGACAGAGAGACACAGAAAGACACACACATAGACACACACACATACACACACATACACACACAGAAGATATCTCTGTCTAGCCCAGGGTGGCCTGGAATTCCTGATCCTTCTGCCTCTGCCTCCCTGAATGAGGAATTACAGGTGTCCCCACCATCCTGACTTGTCTCCTTTATTTATACATTCCCTTTCTGTTGGACAGTGCATTCTGGTCCATCATCTTCTTCCATAGACAGTGCTGTGATGGAAACCATGGACATACGTCCTTCACACACGGGCAGATTTATCTGTAGCATAGACTCTCAGAAGCACAGTTCCTGGGTTGAAGGATCAAGGTGTTTACAATTGTAATAAATCTTATTAAACTCTTTCCAAAGAGGTTTCACCGGTTCCTGCCTCTGGGACAGGTGAGTGCCTGTGCCCCTCATGTGAAGTATCAGCCATAAAAGAGGCAGAATATCTTGGAGCGTAATTCCACCAAGGTGGCCCTGGGGGAGGCCTCCTATGTGTTCTGCCCAATGGATCTTGCAATGACTATTTTTTTTTCTCATTCTGTGCCCTACAGATAAACTGCGTGACATTCCCTCACCCAGATACAATGCCTGAACAGCAGCTGCTGAAGCCCACCGAGTGGAGCTATTGTGACTACTTCTGGGTAGGCGCTGCCTCAGTTTCCTCTCACTGTGACTCCTGACAGGAGTGTACACATGGGAGGGGCAGGAAAGGCCTTTCTTGAAGCCTGAAGGTGTGGTGCTGAGACAAGAATTAAGATTCTTATAGATTCTAGATCATTCTAGAAATCTCAGGGAATCTGTGCAGGTTTTCATTTTTCAGTTTCTGTTCACAGAAACATGGAAACCACAGCCAGAATGTGGGGATGCTGGAGAGCTATTTTCCCTGGTTCTCAGTGATGGCAGGAGACTAGATAGAATCCCTCTCTCTAGAGAAATCTGAACTCCAGGCCTGCTCTGCACTTCTGCGAGTGACCTTAGACAAGTGCTTCACCTTTCTGAGTCTCAATGTTCCCTGAATCACAAGAAAGTTGGGTGCAGGCTGAAATCTATAGGGTTCCCACTTTCAGCACTCACAGCTCCCAAACTTTTGCATGTTGCTTAATGGGCACAGAGTTTCAGTGTTACAAGATGAGATGGTTCTGCAGGTGGTGAATGGTGGAGTGATGGCACATCAGGGTGACTATGCTTAGTGTCCCCGAACCATATGCTTAGCAATGGTGTCAGGGGTAAATCTTACATTATGCATAGTTTTTTCACCATTAAAAAATTGTTGAAATGTAAATGCAGAATCTCACACCTCAGAATCGTCAGTGCTAGTTTGGGTCATTTGCATTGGCACTGACTTTTTTACAGTCATAGAAGTGAGGGTTCACACAACCTTGACCATCTATGAAAAATTCTGTCTCTCCAAAAAGAACTTTTGCAAAGACCCTGAGGAACAGCAAATAAATAAAACACTTTCTCCTCTGTGGTGCAGAATGGATTACTGGTCCTTTTTTAGATTTGCTGAGTACTAAGCAAAAGTACTCTTTTCTTTTTCCCAAATTGCTCACCTTTAGAAAGCATGCAGAGGTTCCTGTTGCCCAGTGGGCAGTGCCTGTCACTACAGGTGCACTGCTCCTAGGACAGAGGTCTACAGAGGATGCAAAAGCTTTCAGAGCTGCAGGAGATGAGCCTTGGAGACAGGCAAGCAGGCATCCAAGACCAGAAGACTGTGTAGGCCTTGTGTTCTCTGCAGTAGGGGGGTGCTGGGGTAGAGGGTAGGTTAAGGTGAAACTGGGTATGACCTGGTCCATGTGCATTGTGCAGGTGGGAATGCAGGGTAGGAGGTACATTCAGGTGACCAGGAAGAATGGTGACAATGGGAAAGATGAAGAGATACAGCCATGTTTGCAAAGGTCACCCTGAGAAATGGGCTCTAGGAACCAGGACATATCCTGAAGGCGGGAGATGAGGAGCTTGAGAAGCTAGACAGAGCCTGGGAGCCTGCTCACTGGTTAGTGAGATCCCAGGGAGCCACACTTGAGAGTCTGTTTTCTCCTCATGTTCGTTTGGAGTTTTGGAGACAGGCATTGAACTAAACATCCTCCTGCATCTACGTCTGGATGCTGGGATTTCAGGCATGAGCCACCACACCTGGCTGAGAGATATCTTTTCCCAGCTCTAGGAAGTGATGCCTCCTTGTTGGTTCTCCTCTGCTGACCAGAGAGATATTTTCTTTCTCAGTAGAAATGTCTCCCTGCTGCCATAGACATTGGAGCACATGCCTCTGGCTGGTTTTCCCTCAAGCTGATGAGCCGTTTGGCCAGTCCATCCCAGAAGAGAGGCAGGTTTGGGCTTAAGTGCTTTGGGTGAGCTCTGTGCCTTTTCATCAAGATATGGCATTTACAGGGTGGGGTGCACTCATCTTCAGTGCCCCTGGAGAAGCCTCAGTAGGATCAGCTTAGCCACATGCTGGAGATCTCCATGTTGGGAGCAGCATCAGCAGCGTGGCCAGAGAGTCTTGGGTCAGCGCAGCTGAGGGAAGGATCCCACCTTGGAGAACATCTGGAAGAGGCCCCATAAAACCCTTTGTGGTGAACAGGGCCTCTGTAGACAGCAGCATCCCCTTGGTCTGATCCGGAAGGGATCCTAGAGACATGGTGCGCTCCCTGACCCCTTGGGCTTCTGTTTCTTCCTAGGCGGATAAGAAGGACCCTCAAGGCAATGGCACTGTGGCTGGGTTTGAACTGCTGCTGCAGAAGCAATTGAAAGGCAAACAGATGCAGAAGGAGATGTCTGAGTTCATCCGGGAAAGGTGAGATGCAGCCCACTCAGCACTGGAGCTGGCCACAGGGCCCACCTTGAACCCCTGATGCCAGGGGAGTCAAGAGGTGACTCAGTGCTACGCTTAACCCTGAGACAGATGTGGACAGCTGATGTGTGGCACAGACTTGAGTGTTTCTAAAGATTTGAACCAACATTTAAAAAAATGCTGGTAGCCAGACACACGGGCTCATGTCTGTAATCCAAGCATCAGGAGATAAAGGCATGAGGAACAGGAGTTCAAGGTCATCCATGGCTACATAGTGGGTTTGAGGCCAGTCTGAGCTACAGGAGACCCTGTCTCAAAAGGGGGAGGGGCTGGAGAGATGGCTCAGCAGTTAAGAGCACTGGCTGCTCTTGCAGAGGACCTGAATTTGATTCCCAGCACCCACATGGTGGCTAACAACGATCCATAACTACAGTTCCAGGAGATCCAACACCCTCTTCTAGCTTCTGCAGGCACTATATGACATGGATGCGGTTACATACATGCCAGCATAACACTAATACACATAAAAGGAAAATAAATTTTTAAAAATTTAAAACAGACGGATGGATAGATAGATGATAGATAGATAGATAGATAGATAGATAGATAGATAGATAGATAGATGATAGATTGATTGATTTGACATTAAATCCTGGGAGCCTAGCATCTCTTGAGGGTGCCTCCACAGTGCCAGTGCAACAGTTGGCTGGAGAGTGTTTCTAAAGATTTAGAAGGGGACTGTGGCCCATTTGCCACATCTCCATTCTCCCTATTGTCCCGCACAGGCCACTTCCCTCCTTTGCTTCCTTACCTAGTCCTCATTTGAAGTCTGTCCCTTGTCATAATCAAGAAAGGAAATGTAACCTTCCAGGCCATCGTTGAGTCAAAACTGTGTTCTAGGCCAAGGGATATAGAACCATCCTCGCATCCCTTCCCACCTCCTGGGGTTCTAGCAACCTGGTGTCTAAAGACCATGAGCCATAGATAAAGATCCAATAAATCCTTCCCATTGGAAATAGGGAGAGCTGCAGAGAGAAGTCCCTTCTCCATCTCTTCCCTCTCCATCTCTCTAAGTTTACACGCCTGCACACCCACACAACACATCTGCATACCCATGCATCAGTGCACCTGCACACCCATGTTTCTGCATGCTCACACATCTACATACCCATGCACTCTGGCCCCTGCACATCCACAATCCCCACACTTACCTACCTGTGCACTCGCACACCCACACATATGCATGCCTACACCTGTGTGCACTTACACCTATGAACTCAGGCAAATGAAAACCTGTACCCAGAGACTCGTGCACTGGCACACTCACACACCCGTGCACCCACATCCACACATGTGTATACCTGCATACCCACACATATGCATGTCCACATAGCCACACACTTACACATCCATGCACTTGACATCCACAAACCTGTACACCCAGTCTGCACACACTCATGCACCCACACATTTGCATATATGAGTACCCACACACTCGTGTACCATTCACTGTCACACTCATATACCCACACATCCATGCATCTACACCTGCACTCACACACACCTTTGCACCTGCACAACTGTGCCTGTACACCACATACCTGCACACTTATGCACTTTCATACCCACACACCAGTCTACCCATAGCTACACACCTACACACCTAAACACATACCTATGCATTCACACCCAACATACCCATACCCCTGTGCACCCATGGCTGCACATCCATGAACTTCCATGTGCACACTCTTCTACACACATACCCATGTACCTGCATACCCACATCCTTATGCACCCACCCCTGTGCACCCACAGTTGCACACCTGCATACCCACACCTGTGTACACATGCTACACCTTTGTGCATTTGTACCCCCACACCACATACACCCTTACACCTGCACATTCACACACATGCACGCCAATGCACCTCACATTCACACACCCACAGACCCACACACCTGGGTACCTACCAGCTCATACCTCCATATACACATTTTCACAAACATGTGTGTAACTTTCCAACTACAGTTTCTTTGGCTTGCTGAAAAAACTCCTAGCAAATGGTAAGATCTTTTCCGAAGTATTTCTTTATTATCACAACAGTAATCAGTACTAATGCCTTGGCATTTTTAAAGCCCTCTTTTCCTTGAGAGGCCTATTTTCCATTTGTATAATCAAATCTTTATTTTATGACCCACTAAACTGGTAGGAAATGGGAAACCTGTTTTGTTCAGATGCAAGAAAACAGGAGCATAAAACAGACAAACAAGAAGTGGGTTGTATGAGCTGAAGCCTGAACATGTGTGTGGTTTACACTCATAACAATGTCATATTAGCAAATGCATCATCTCTGCCATCCAGATCCCTGGAACCTTTCTCAATCTACCATGGGAGCTCTTGGGGAGGCCTTTTGGAGGCAGGGGAGCCAGACTGCAGGGCTGGCCCGTGCTCACTTGCTGGTCTTAGGGAGGTGGACAGGAGGTGAAGATGATGCAGGCTGGTTCAGAGACGAGACTTAGGAGGTGGAGGGCATGTGTGTCTCCTATGCCTGGGGCTTGCACTGGCATGGTGATATAGTGAGCTCTGCTTTCTGGACATCTTGGCCTCAGTGTAGAGGTGCAGGCTGGAGGCTCACATAATCCTGAGCAGGGCTGGAGACAAAGGTAGAGGCCATAGAGAGGAATCAGCAGCCACTGGAGATTCGTCAGTGTGAAACTCAGGAGCCTGGAGCCCAGGAGCCTAAGTGAGGACCAAGCAGGAGCAAGACTGGGAGTCTCAGTGCCAAGTCGTGCAGTAGCCGCTTCTTCAAACACACCTGCCTGACCTTGTCCATCCCCTCTCCAGGCCCCTGCATCCTTTAGGTGTCCGTGTCTGAGCATCCAGAAAGCAAAGTGCTGTAACCGCATGCTCTGAGACTCTTCCATTCACTGAATGTGTACAAAGCTGCCCAGGGCCCCACCCTCTGACCACCTCTGGTTGTCATGGCACAGCTCTTCAGAGGTGAACAATGCCTTTGGCACCCACTTAACAAGGACGTGCCTGGCTGTGCAGAACACTCCAGAGAGTTGTTTGGAAGTGTGCGAAGGGCTTTCCCCTCCAGGGAAATGGAATGGAATTAAAGCTCTGAATGCTGCTTGGTTTCCATGGAAAAACTCACACCCTTAACAGTGCTCAGCAATAGGAGGCATTGGGGGTGGGAGAATGGAGGGAGATGTTCACTTCATACTTCTGTAGGCTGAAGCCATCTGGGACTATGTGAACTGGAATTGGGAGCTGGAGGGTCTGGGACATGCTGGGCATTCCTGGGAGATCATCATAAGTTCTCATGTCCAGCCTTGTGCTAGAAGTGGTGACACCTGCCATCCTCACAGCCTGGAGACAGCAGACTTCCTGCATGTTCTCGGAACTTACTGTTCGTTATGTCTAGTGGGTTCTTCACACTGCTGAGGGTGGCAGGGGGTGGCAGGTCCAACCCATGGTCTACACTGCAGAGCAGACACACTGAATTTTCTCTTTTCAGGATAAAGATTGAAGAAGAATATGCAAAGAACCTGGCTAAGCTCTCTCAGAACTCCCTGGCCGCCCAGGAGGAAGGGTGAGTTGGGAGGGGTGTGGTGGGATTGGGGGGATAGGGGACTCTGAGGAAGGGGGTCCTTACCCACCACTGATGCTATTCACTTTGGACAGAGAGGTTGCTGTAGGTTTGGCTTATAGTGGGGTCTATGCTCCTTAGTCCCTCACAATTCAAGGTAGACTCTTGTGACTAAGGGTGGGCACTCATGTCTCAGACTAGGGACCATAACTCAAGGTGGGCACCTATAGCTCAAGATGGTCTTCATGGCTCAGGGTGGCTACTCATGGTTCAAGACTAGTGCTCAGAACTGGGTGTCCTGGCCTCTAATCTCAGCCCTGGAGACTGAGGAAGGAGGATGGTAAGTTCAAGGCAAGCCTGAGCTACATAGCAAGACCTTGTCTCAGACAGACAGAGAAGCAAATGAAAATATGGTGCTCATGGCTCAGTCTGAGCACCCCATGCTCCAGGCCAGCCCTTCCATATAGTTTTTTCTCTAGTGACCCAGGGCCTTCTGGAGGCTAAAGTGTGTCAGAGACTCTCCAATGTGCCCTCAGCTAGACAGCAGCTTCTGGGTACTCACCCCTGTTCTCCTTCCTCTGGTAGGCTGGGAAGAAACTAAATCTGAGGACTTCATACCTAGCCTCTGAGAGCTCCCAGACCATGCCCCTCTCTCTCTCTTCCTGTAACACTCCATCTGGGACCTGGGCTAAAGGACACCTGGCCCAACATCCATGCAGGGATCTCTAGTGGGAGAAAGCCTTCAGGACAGACATCTTCTTTCCTGTCTGTCTGAAGAGCCTTGGCCCTCCTGCACCACTGATGGGCATGTCAAGTCACACAGCCACTGTGGAAAAGAGCTCAGTGCTCCTCAAAGAGTTAATCACAGAAGTAATAGGCATCACACCATGCTTTCCCTAGGTTTATGATCAAAAGAATTGAAAGCAAAGACTCAAACAAACATGTATGGAGCAGCACTGTTCACATGATTAAAAGGTGGAAACAACTTACATTCCGTCAAGGGACAAATGGATATACAAACTGTGGTGTACTCACAATGGACACCCATGGATATACAATGGAATATTATTCACCCGTAAAAAAGAACAGAATTCTGAGACATGCTAAGCTAGCCACAAAAGGTCACAGAGTTTATCATTCCATTCATAGGAAATGTCCAGAATAAACAAAGCCATAGTGTTAGTGGCAAAGAAGAGATGGTGTGTGAAAATTAATAGGTTAATAGGTTACAGCTTTCCACTGAGGGTGTGTCTGATGGAGTTGTTATAACAAAGTACCATAGATGGTGTGGCTTCAACATTAGAAATTTGTCTGAATGCAATAGTATACATCTGTGATCCCAGCATTCAGGAGGCAGAAATGGAAAGATCATGAGTTCAAGGCCAGCCTAGGTCAAGAAAATGAAAAGTCATTTGTTCACAGTTTGAGAGGCTACAAGTTCAAGCTCAAGGTGCCAGTAGGGATGATGTTTGGTGAGGCTTCTCCTTGGGACTGCAGACAGCTGATACAAGTCACTGGGTGCTCACGGAGCCATCTGTGTATGCTGGGTGGGCAGTGGGTCCTGTAAGGACAGTAATCCTATCAGATCAGGGCCCCACCCTCTAACCTTCTGTGTCCTTAGCAGTGGCCAGACCAAGGAGGTGGCCACATTTAATAATTACTGCCCCATTCCCACACCCCTGATCAGAGCACTAGCATGTGAATTGGGAGATGAGAGAGGGGGTTCACAAACTTTTATTCATGACAAGTGATGAAATGCTTTGGAGCCATTGAGGGCGTGTTGTTCCACATTGTGGGTGTCATAAACACCCCTGGATTGTTCCCCTTAAATTGGGTAATTTTATCTCATAAGCTTTCCACCTCAAAATAAAAGTAACCAAGGCTCTCTCCTGAGAGAGGTTAGCACCAACAAGGTTCTCAGAAGCCCCCTCCTCCATCTTCAGAGAATCCTTCTTCCTGAGCAAGTCTAGGGAGTGAACCCAACGTGGAAGGCATGGCCGCAAGGGTTGTGGCTCTCAGGGAAGTGGGATGATAAGCAAACCCAAATCTATTTCCTGGCTGGAATCCTCCCAGTCACCAGTCAAGTGTGGCTTTGATCGAGGCCGCCTCCAGCCAGCCGCCTCCTCCAGATGGTCTCATCCAGTCAGCCACAGAGTAGCTCAGCAGTGTCCCTCCACAAACCTGAGCAAGGTTAGCTGGTTCCTGGTCACTTCTGCTGCCTTCTCAGTCTGAGACTGGGCAGAAAGGGGCACGCAGGAAGTAGCACCCACCACCAGGAAAAGGATCTGCCTTTGGGTCCCTGTGTGGCTCTGGAACCATCCTGCTTCCACCTCCTCGGCCTGAGCTCTTGCCAGGGACGCTGTGTCCTGCCAGCCCACAGCATATGCTGCCGAACTGAGCAGCCCGTTCCTCATGCCAGGCCCGCATTGCTACACGCATGAGCACATGCAGACCACACAAGCAGACATCAGCACCACACTCGTATCCACTTGCCCCATCACTACAACACATACACAGCACCTCGCACATTCCACCACCAGCCCCCGTACCCCCTGCCACACAAAGCACAATGGTTCTGTTATCTTGTACTTACAAGTGACTCTAGACATTTGACCCAGCATACCTTGAAGGCTGTGTGGGGGTGCAGGAGCTCAGAAACATGGAGTTGGTTAGAGCAATGCTGTCAGAGAGACTCAATCGCTCTGCCAGTATTAGATTTCCCAGGATGTGTGCACGCTGGCAGATCAGCAGCCATCAGTTTTTTGCTGCGCCTTTGATCTTCTCTCCTGTGGGAAGGCAGTGGGCTTTGGGTCATTCCTGCTGGCAGCCGTGACAGGAGTCTGTGTTTCCTTTGGCATGCCCCAGACTATAGGTTAGGAAAGAATTATATCTATTTTCTCATTAACCTCTTTCTTATCAGATGCTGTCTTCAAATGAGAATATCTAATGACTTTTTCCCAAACATTTAAAATTTTTTTGATTAACTCGTTAATTTGCACATATTAATGGGGCCTAGTGTGACAGTTCCACACATCTGAACATCTGAAGTGCCTTGGAATATTGAGAAGAGGGGGACACAGGCATGAATGTTAGGAATGATGCCCCTCCACCCTGGGCATGAGGGACCTGGAGGTGAAGCTGAGGCAAACGGTGTCCCTGGTAGAATGGTTCTTTCTTTCCTCCCAAATTCCCTGAGCTGTATTCTCAGTCCACCACGCCTACTGCTGGCCATCTACTTTATGTACTCTGCTGGCAGTGGGCTCACAGCCCTATAAGAAAAGCCTTGTCGGGGCTGGAGAGATGGCTCAGCAGTTAAGAGCACTGGCTGCTCTTGCAGAGGACCCAGGTTCAGTTCCCAGCACCCATATAGCAGCTAACAACCATCGGTAACTGCAGGTCTTGGGAATCCAATGTCATCTTCTGAACTCTGTGGGTATTGCACAACATGGGTACATTTACACGTGCAGGCAATACACTCATCCACATAAAATAAAAATAATAAATATTTTCAAAAAGAAAAGCCTTGGCCCCTCCCATGGCCTTCACTGACTCGTACGGCTCCACAGCTGCTGTGCGTCAGTTCCTAGGGCAGAGCCCCTCAGCCCACTACAAACCCACTTGTCCTAGAATGGCTTCTGTGGGCTTTGTGGCACACCTGGCTTTCAGTTTGAAACAAGGATCTGTCTTAAGATCCTGTGTTTATGGCATGAGGTGAGGGTCAAGATTCCATCCTTCCATGTGGAAATCTGGGAACAGAGCTCAGTGGTAGAGTTCTTGCCTAGAATGTGGGTTCCACCCCAGCACCACAAAAAAAAAATTAGTTGTTCTGTTCCCCTAGTGAAACATCCAGTCACACTTTTGTCACCCGCTTGTCATTATCTGTGTGACTCTGTGTCTAATTTATAAGGACAAGACAATTCTTATGGCTCCAGAGCCTGGGAGGTTCAAGATCAGGGGCTGACATCTGGAGAGAGTCTTCATACTGCCCCAGCATGTGACAGAAGTCTCCAGGCATTGAGAACAAGGCAGCCAGCCAGCATGGGGTCAGAGCCTTTTTGCTGTGGCCTCGAAGGTCCCACCTCTTAGTACACCGCATTGGATGAAGTCAGCTGCACATGCTTTGAGATGACACATTCAGATTACCTGATCTGTTTAACAGCCATGATCACTTTCACTGTGGAGTGAGTTGGGGATGCCTAGGCCATACAGAAAGTCTGCGGGTCTGCACAGTCTCTGTACAGCTTCCTGGAGCCCAGGTCCCTCAGGCAAAGACAAATGTCCATAGTATGGTCACCCCAGACTCACCTAGTTCTTCTCTGGTAGACTCCCCAGGACAGCTTTCTTGCTTCCCAGACTCCCCCAGGAACACCCACCCAGGCCAAGCTAGCATAGCCACCAGCCTGGCAGGGAACAGGAACGTGGGCGTGGCCAAGCCAGAAGTCTTTTAATTAGCTTTCGACATTCAATTTAAGGAATTCTCTGGAGCAAGTGGCTTTTGGAAGTCAACTGGCTGGTGAGAGGGTTGGAGCTAGGAGCAGGGGTCTGGCTTAGAATGGTTGAGGGGTTGAAGGAACCAGGTAATAAAGCCTGTAGCCTGGAACTTTAGAAGTCCTGGATTTCAGCTTTTGTTTGACCTGACTCCTTGGAGAGGAGAGATGGCTTAGAAGCACACTGTGAGCCACTGTGGTACATAATCCAGAATCTGCTAGAGAGAAGCCATGCCTTTGTGCTTGGCGAGGGAGATCCTTCTCAGTGTGGGGTTGCACCTGGGATGTCCCTGGACCCAAGTGGACCATCTGTGAGCCTCTCGGAGGCTAAGTGGCTGAGACCTATGAGCTGAGCCGGCTGCTAGAGAAGGGCTCGGCCCCGAAATGACTCTGGTTTCTTCCTTGAGTTACCAGCGTGCACTTGTCTCCTCAGCAGCAAGCCAGGGAGGGAGCTGGGGAGGCACTGGGGCAGTGATCATCAGGTGTTGGCCCTCACTGCAACTGAGGCTGTAAAATGGTACCCACCCCCTTGTCAAACCTCTGCCAGTCCTTGAGAGCCTCTGGGTTCTGGATATTTCCCCAGCCACTCAGATGTCTGCTGCTGCTGCCTTAGATCCCGAGGCAAGGCCAGCTCACCTTGGATGCTCTAACCTCCCCAAGACTTACGTGTAGCTGAGAACTACCTTCCAACCTTAAGAAGGACTGTGGCTTTGTGCCTGAGCTTGGCACAATCCTCTCTGGGTCCCCCAATTCTGACTGCTCCCCTTCCTGTTGCAGTTCCTTGGGAGAGGCATGGGCCCAGGTGAAGAAGAGCCTGGCTGATGAGGCTGAAGTTCATCTCAAGTTCTCCGCCAAGGTAACACTCTCTCCAGGCTTAGACCAGGCAGGCATGCCGCAACTGCTTAACTGCTCTCTCTAGCTTAAAGTGTTAGCCAGTTTCCATGGTGCAGATTCCCAGCTGAGGTACTAAGTCCTTGAATAGGAGGAGATATAATAGCTCATCATTAGACAGTGTTTCTACTAATCAGATAGCAGCAGAAATAACCAATGTCTACCAAGAGTGGGGCTTAATAGCACAGCATAAGGGCTGAGGGCTTATCATCTTTCATGACTATCCCTTAATAGTGGAGCCTACATGGCCTGTAGGAGATGCCTGGTAGGTATGTTCTGAAATAATAAATATATATAGTCTTCTGCCCAGTGCCTGCCTGCCTCCAGTCTTTCCAGATTTTTTTTTGCTTCAGGATATCTCCTTATTTTCATGTGGCCCTACTGTCTTTTCTTCCTGGCTGATGTCCCCACATCCCACATCGCCTCTCAGCCTCTCAGCTCCTTTTTCAGTGAAAAAATAAGCTAAATGTCTTGAGATAATTCACACTAAATTATGGGACTTCCCATTAACATGCCTGCCTTTGAGAGTGGTACCACTTTGGCTAACCTGCTTCTCCTGCCTCCCTCCCGCCTCCACCAGTCATCCCCAGCAGCCTGTGAGGACTGTCTATTCCAGTGCTTGAACATTCTCAGCCCCCAGGTTTAAAATGTTTGATTTGTCATTTTTTATTTCATGCGTATAAGTGCATTGCCTGCATGTTTGTAAGTGCACCTGTGTTGTGCAGTGCTTGCAGAGGTCAGAAGAGGGCGTCGAATTCCCCTGAAACTGGAGTTACAGACAATTGTTAGCCACCATGTGGGTGCTGGGAATCAAACCTGGGTCTTCTGCAAGAGCAGCCAGTGCTCTTAACTTTGGAGCCATCTCTCCAGCCCCAGCCTCCATGCTTAAATCCCAGCTTTATCATTTGGCATTGGTCAAAGACACTGCTCTGCTCCTTCCTGGGCTTTCTAACCTCAGCACTGGCTAGTGCCTTCTTTGTAGTGCTGTTCCTTGTGTCATTGCAGTTCCCTGTGTTGAGATCCCATGTAATGTGTAATGTCCTCTCACAGGATAGGACTATGTCACTGTACCCCAGCCCTCCCCCTGGGAAGGTGTCCTGCACACAGAAGGACAGGGGTGGTTCAAAGAGCTGAGACCAGGGGCGAGCTTTGCAGGGACAGTGGTGCTATCTGCTTCTGAAGGATTCCAGTGCCCAAGATCCAGTCATCTCCCAGATGAGAGTGAGACTCTCCAGCTCTCAAGAACACGCTCACCCCATGCTGCCAAAGTCCTGGGAGGAGGAGGAGCTCTCTGGATTGATGCTTTCAGTGCTACAGAGGGGTATTTTTAAACCACAGTTCATGAGTGCTTCCCTCTGAGGCCTCCCTCCTCCTATCCCAGCCCCCACCAGTGCTCTTTCCAAGGAGGGGGAGGGGGAGACCCTCACCAAAGGAGGAAAATGGAATGCTGGCTGCTATTGTGGAAGCTGAGAGTTGGGTATGGGAGCTTGTGAAATCTGGATCCTCCTACCCCCCGCCCCCACCCCCCGCATCTTGATGGTATGCGCTTGCTATCAGAAGGGCCCCTGATTCTCAATTGTCTGTTCATTCAGGAAGTAGACAAATGACTCTCATGTGATAGTGGCAGCTTAAGTGTAAAGGGTATAATCAGATCTCCCGGTTTGATCAATCACCATGCAAGACAACATTTCCATTCCTCGATTGAGAGGGGACAGGGGACAGGGATGATGGCACAGCCATGGTCACACAACTAGGTAGACCCAGCAATGGAGGAAGCGAAAAGGAGCCACAGTTCCCAGGCCTTTGTTTGACAAAGCCTACTTTCCAGACCAGTAGCCTTTAAAGCACAGGATCCAGGCCTGGGGTCAGCTCTGCAGAGCACAAGTCTGGCATGTATGGGCCCTAGGTTCAAGCCTCAGCACTACAAACAAGCAAAACTCCTGCTTTTGAAGAAGTCTTTGCCCTCAAAGGGGTGTAGGCTGGTCCCTCAAATGTTCAGGCCATTTAAAACCAGATGCACAATCACAGAGACTTTATCAGTAAAGGAGGCTCACACAGAAGGGCATTTAAACACACAGTACAGACTTCGTGCCATTAGCACTTACATGTGTTGGTGGCACCAGACCACCATAGTAGCCACCTAATGGTGGCACAGTGATTCCTTGAGAGGAAGGGGACTCTAAAGATTGATTTGTCAATCCTAAATAATAATAATAATAATAGTAGCCACCTAATGGTGGCACAGTGATTCCTTGAGAGGAAGGGGACTCTAAAGATTGATTTGTCAATCCTAAATAATATAGTTCCCAAGTAGAAAATTCATTTTATTTAGGCTCCAAAAGGTTTATTAAAATTCTACTCCATACAAATGTTCAGGGTCAAGGGCAAAAGCCTGTTAAGAAATGTGATTTCATTACAGCAAGCTCACCAGCTTTCCTAGTCGCCCATCTCAAGCTGTGCTAATAGCTACAGCAATCTCAAGACATGAGCTCATTGGGGCTGGAGAGATGGCTCAGTAGTTTAGAGCACTGATTGCTCTTGCAGAGGACCTGAGTTCAGTTCTCAGCACCCACATGGCGGCTAACAACCTTCTGTAACTCCAGTTCTAGGAGATCCAATGCCCTCTTCTGATCTCCACAGGTTTGCACATACATGGTACACTTCTACACATGCAGGCAGACACTCATAAAGAAAATAAAACACAAAATTAAAGGAAGATATGAGATCGCCCTATTGGAAAGGGGTTAGACCTGGCTCTAACAGAGGTGGGCAGAATAGAAAAGTTTCTACAGATGGAGGAAACCTGGCCATGCGGTCAGGGCTGCTCCCACGGGAAGATCTAACACCAGAATGGCAATTTTAAGCCCAGTGGTTGTCACTAACAAGCTTCGTGACTGTGGCAAGTCACTTGGCAGCTCTGGGATTCCATTTCTTCATGTGGGAAATGAGGAGTTTGGACCAGATCAGTGACATCAACCTTTGCCAACTATGACTACGGAAAGTATTTTACATGGTCACTGAACACATGTGCCCACCACTATAGCCACTCAGAGATGCACATGTGTATAGCCAAAAGAAATGCTTCATGGCACAGTACTAATTCTGCCTTAAATTCAGTCTAATAATTTCTACATGAAAATGCCTGACTAGGCAGTCCCTAAAATCTCTTCCAACTTGGAATTTCTCTCACTCTCTTCTGACACATCAAGGAAGATCAGGGATAACCATGTTCCACCAATCTGACCAGTGGCCTGGGCCATACAGTGCAGGCTAGACCAGCCATGTGACCCCAAGAACACACTTTCCACAAAGACTGCCAATACCCAGGAAGCAAAATGCTTCAGAGCTAAGAATGACTCTTAAAAGTACCAAGCCAATGTTCTTCTTATTATTATTTATATTACGTGTATGAGTGTTTTGCCTGCATGTATTTAAGTGCACCATGTGCATGCAATGCCTGTGGAGGCCAGAAGATGGCATCGGATCCCCTGGAACTGGAGTTAAGGACACTTATGAGCTGCTTGTGTGCATGCTGGGAACCAAACCCAGGCCCTCTGCAAAAGCAACCAGAGCTCTTAATCGCTCAGCCATCCCTCCAGCTTCCAAGCCAATGTTTTTAAAGAAAAAAATTGTCTTTAAAAATTACATAATATATGGGCTGGGGAAATGACTCAATGGTAAAGCACTTACCACACAAGTGTGGGGACCTGAGTTCGGATCCCCAGAGCCCATTTAAAGCCAGGTGTAGTCATGTGCATCTGAAGTCCTGGTGCTCCTACAGCAGAAAGTGAGGTGGAGACAGGAGAATCCCTGGCACATGTGGTGGCACAAGAGACCCCGAAAGTGAAGAACAACACAAACACAAGAGGTTGTTCTCTGACCTCCACACATGCTTCATGACAAGCATGCACCTGTACATACGCACATATCAGGCAACACACACACACACACACAACTTTTTTAAAATGTACTTTATATAGAGAGGCGATGAATCCACATGGGTCTTCATCTACACAATGGAATCGTGACTGACAGATGGGAGCATTATGCTTCCTGAATGTCATTTAAAATTTGGGAAAGCCTTTTGGTGTACTGATGGTTGGTGGGCACTCACCCAGAACACAAAACCTGGGGCTGGGGTCCAGGAATCCTTAATGTGATGTGGCCCCTCCAGCTTACTCTGATCCCATAAAAGTCTGGCAGGCAACTGCTTTTTCCAGTTCTTGCAGAGACCTGGGGTTTCTGAGCCCTCAGAGACCCCATTAACGTTCTGGTTCCCAGGACAGCTGATTTACACAGCAGGTGAGTGAGATAGATGCCCTGTTCAATTTTACATGAAGAATTAAATGCTAGCCAAGTGTAGGGACACACACCTTTTAACCCCATCACTTGGGAGGCAGAGGCAGGCAGATCTCTGTGAGAGCAAGGCCAGCCTGGTCTGCATAGCTAGTTCCAGGCCAGCTGGGGCTACAAGGAGACCCTGTCTCAAAAAAAATTTTTATATCTTGGCTAATTTGACTCTTACATGCTAAGGAATGGTTGTAGGAAAATATCAGAAGTCTGTTTTCGATAATTAAACCAAGTGGTTTTTCTAAGAGCAGAAAACTTGTGTATGGAATAAAAATAGTGCAGTTCATAATGTGCAGTTGTCTTGACTCTGTCCTGAGGCATTTTGAGTACTTTGTTGGGGTTGTGTGGTGTGACAGCATGGCCAGTACAAAGTGTTGTGTTGTGAGTTCAGAACCAAGGCTGCAGTGACGTCACACAGTGTGACACAGGCTGGCGCTGGCAGAAGCACTTTGGATTCATTATGTGTTTGATTTTGTATTAACTTTGTGCATGTTCAGAAACCTTTTATAGTTACCAAGGTTTTATAACTCCCGCATTCAATTACACAACCCCATAAGGGTCATAGCCCCCAGCTTTAGAACTTTGGGTTTAAAGTAAGAACACCTGAGTCTTGGGTGGTCTTCAGAGAAAAAGACAGTGTCACAAGAACCCAGGCAGGAGGAGAGAACAGCCAGAACCTGAGTCAGACATCACCTGTTTGGGGCATTGAGGCACCTCAGGCAGGTGGAGGCTAAGTCAGCTAAGGAGGGGTCCGGTGGAGTTACAGAAGATAGAATCCAGGCAAGGGGTGGTAAGCTCTAGAAGGTTGAGTGAGGGGACAGAAGAAGTGCTAGGCAGCCCTCCTAGCTGACCAGAACAGGCCTTCAGTGATCTGTTTTCTTACAAATAAATGTCATGCTCACACCCAAAACAAATGTCTTCAGAAACAATCTCCAACGACCTGGGCATGGTGGCATGTGCCTTTAATCCCAGCATTTAGGAGGCAGAGGCAGGCTGATCTCTGAGATTGAGGCCACTCTGGTCTACATAGCAAGTTCCAATCCATCTGGGGCTACACGGAGACCCTGTCTCAAAAAGACCAAAAAAAAAAAAAAAAAAAAAAAACCCTTAAAAATAAATAAATAATAATAAACAAAAGTGAAATGGGGGTGGGTAAAAGGAACAGAATAGAAAAGAAAGCTTTAAAGCCTCAGGCCACCAACCCCTCTCACAGCAGATGACTTTTTCTCAGGCCCTCCGAAGGCAAATAAAAACATTTGCCTAGGGTGGGAGGATGGGAAGTGGGCTTGGCCATGTCTAGACCAAGGACTTGAGAAAACACCCCTCAGTGGTCACTCAGGATAATTGCCCCTACAAATTCCCAGCAGGGACAGGTTCACACTGGATCCAGGTCCTCTTTCTATTCCAGGTGCCTGCCACATAGTAGATGGTTGATAAATAGAAACAATCTCAGATCACCTGAGTGATTGACACCACAGTTACCTGTTGATCTCCATGTAATACTCCCTGTGCTAAATGCTTGGGGACATAGGTAGGTGACATGTCTGTCCCCAGAAAGCTCCCAGTTTGAAAGCAAGAGAAAGGGCCATTCAAGCCAAACCATGAGAGCATGGGACATAAACAAGTTTGGGTGGCCACGCAGATGATCCTCAGTATGCTTCAGTCACTCCAGAATGTCTGTATCACAAGCATATTGTATACTATAAATACATGCCACAAAGAGTTAAAAATAAAATTTTGAGAAGAAGCAGTTGTAGAGGCTTAGAAGAGAAAAAAGTGAGCTGATGGAAGGGGGAATTGGAAAGTTCTAGACTAACCCATGGGGAAACTGGAAAGTTCTAGACTAATCCATTCACCACCTAGCTATGCCACCTGGGAGCTACAGAGCTTCCCATCCATCCAGGCTACTGCCCCAGGCCCAGACTGCTGCAGGAAGCAGGTGGAGAGTCTCCCTCCTCCTCCCTCCCCACCCTGCCACAGTTAACTCCTTGGCCCTGAGTGTGCTCCCTCCACTCTCCTATACAGCTGCACAGTGAGGTGGAGAAACCTCTCATGAACTTCCGCGAGAACTTCAAGAAAGACATGAAAAAGTGTGACCACCACATCGCTGACCTCCGCAAGCAACTGGCTAGCCGTTATGCCTCAGTGGAGAAGGTGAGAGGGCAGGGCACCTTGCTGGTGGGCAGCTGGGAACTTCTGGGACAAGGTGGGTCAGAAACCAGCTATGGCTCTGGGTATCACAGCAGAGACATTGGTCCTAGTCTTGGATGCCTGTACCCGAGGGTGAGTGGGAGCAAGAAGAAGCCTCAGGTGCAATGGTAGCTGTAATGGGCACACGAGACTGAGCAATCCCTGTTTCTGTGGACACAAAGCCGGATGTACTACTGCTGTATATGTGGCCAGTGCACCTGAGCCTCACCAACAGGTGCTTCCTGGACTGATCTCCTCCGAACCCTGGCCCCATGGGAGGCATACCATGGGAGGCAGGGCTGCTGGTGGCCAGCCCTGGAGGAACATTTGATCTTCCCAGTGGCCTGACTCCATGCCCTAGAAAACAGGAGTGGCATATCACCATAGGTACCCAAGACCTGGCCAGATGCTTTCACCCAAGGCTGAGAGTGAAGATCAGGAGGATACATGAACAGTGAGGACTGAGGCTATGAGACAGGGCAGCTGATACTGCCAGCTGTTGTGGATGTGGCTGGAGGAGGGGTGAGCCTATAGCCCCTGCCTCCCCTATAGCTCCTGTGCCATCATCCACACAAACAGAGATGATCAGAGGGAGGTGGTAGCAGGACCCAAGGCCTGGCTTCAGCTTCATCAACAGCTTCTCTGCCCCTCCAGGCCCGCAAAGCCCTCACAGAACGGCAGAAAGACCTGGAGATAAAGACCCAGCAGCTGGAGATCAAGCTGAGTAACAAGACAGAGGAGGACATCAAGAAGGCGCGGAGGAAGTCCACGCAGGCTGGTGAGCCTGAGGCCGGTGGTGATCTGGCCACAGGAGCCCAGGAAAGGGGCTGGAGTGGCTGGGGAGACTGCATCTCTCTTCCACAGGCTTCTATTCCTATAGTGCATGGTCCTTCCCATCCTCCCCCTTGAAGTATCCCTTGTCTCTCCTACATGTCCCATGTCCAAGGATCTCAAAGGAAGAGGCAAGAAGCAGACCAGCTTCTCCCAGGCCACAGTGAGGACTGGACAGCCCATGCTGTCCCTGCCCTGGTCTCTGGACTTTCCCAAGTCCTAGATCTAGGTCCAGAGGTAGATGGTTTCTTCCATGCACCAAGAGCTCAGGGCCCTGTCCCTGCTTGGATCCCACAGAAATGTAACCTCTCGCCCACACCCAAGATGTTCCACCTCCCCAGGGAGTTACACTATGGGAATGAACGCCTGCCTGAGAACAGAGGCCAGTGTTTGGTTTTTAGAAACATCCAGATTTGGGAATTATCCCACACTGTTCCAGTAAGCAGATTTCTTCTGCCATCTACTGGTAATAATTAGGTATTACACAAGGAGGGAGGAAACTGGCCATTAGAGCCAGGAAAATGATCTATCTTTTCTCAAAGATGCCAAGGTTTCAGGCAGCAAGGGCAATGAATCTGCCTCTGCAGGTAGGACGTGCGCTGTGGAACTAGGGTCAGAAGATCTTTAGGTCCTCTTCATCTTAACTTCTGATGAACAGTTCATATTGCTTTAGAACGAAGCAGCTACCTTACACATTGTGAAAATAAAGTGGGATAGAAGTTACGTTGATCACAAACAAGTTGATGCCAGTAAAGCATTTCCTTAAAACATTTTTATAATTTCCTGATATATTTATTGGGAGTGGGAAGGTGACCCAGAGAGGGAAGAAATGTATTCAAATTAATTTATTAAATTATGAAAAAAATTATACAGCAAAAGCATTATCAATGCATGGCAAGTGTTTAATCAGCACACAAGAATATAAAATGTTATTCACCAGAAATAACTGCCAGTACTTCCTAGTATTTTAAGCTTTCAGATAATTCTTCAAACTGGATCATATGATACTGCCTTTTGAACTTCTTTTTCAATTAATAAATCTTAGCAATAGCCCCCTCTAAACTTCTTTATGCATCCATTCATGCACACTAGACACTTTAATTTTTATTCATGGTGCTGGTGAAGGAACTCAGGGCCTTCCTTGTACAGACTAGGCAAGTGCTTTTCCACCGAGCTGTGTTCTCATCCCCAGTGATGGTATCCAAATTTATTTAATCACGCCTTTGATGGATTTTCAGGACTTTTAGATTGTTTCAGAGCGTTTGTTCATGATGAGATGCTGTGCTATCATAACTCTAACTCTTCATTTAGAAAAAGTGTAGATGTTGGGTCAAAAGGTTAGATTCATTTTGATGGATATTTCCAAATTGCTTCCCAGAGAAGGCACCCACCACCAGCATCAGTGAATACTTCTTCCTTAAATGCTTATCAAGATTTGAAATCACTGGTATGCTGGTAAAAATAAATAGTATTTTGTTATTAATTTGCATTTCTCTATGAGAGGGTTGAGCATCCTAAAAGTATACTTATAAATTGTTTTTGACTCTTTTTTTCCTGTGACCTGAGTAACTCATATCCTTTCTTAATTTTCTTGTTGAATACTTGGTTTTGTTCTTCTTGACTGATTAACAGGTTGGTTCTATCTTAGGGAGAGTCACTCTTGGTCTTCTGAATTGCAAATCCTTTCCCAAGGTTAGCATTTATCTTTTACTTTTTCTCTTTGAAGAAAGAGGACCTTTTTGCTTCTGGTTTCTGATGCTGTACAGTGGTATTCTCCCTGTGGTGTCTAGATTCAGAGGAGACTACCTTAGAAAGGCCTTCCAGCTCAGGGATGCCCTCATCTCTTTCCTCCTGTTCTTTGTCTTCCTCCTCCCTCATCTTTCACAAGGACACTGGAAAGAAGGGCATTTGGATGTCAGGGGCATTAACTTCAAATCACCATCACTGTCATCATCCTTATGAATATACTGCCGTCTGTGATAGTCTCTATTCCAATTAATTCCATATATCAACATATTTCATCTTCACAATGACTCTTTTTTTCAGTCTTTTTGAGATAGGGTCTCCCTGTAGCCCCAGCTGGCCTGGAACTCACTATGTAGACCAGGCTGGCCTTGAACTCACAGAGATCTGCCTGTCTCTGCCTCCCAAGTGCTGGGATTAAAGGCCTGCATCACCACGCCTGGCTCACAATGACTCTTTAAAGCTATGAGTATCGCACTCATTTCATGATGAAGAAACTCAGGCATGGACAGGTTATTGACATGTCCAAGGCTTATAAGAGTAGAGCTGGACTGATAGCCCAGGTGTTCTGGTTCCAGAATCAACTGGAACTGTGCAGAAGGGTCTGGTTTCTACCCCTTGAGCTGCCGTAGAAAACACCTTCCACCTTCCTTCCCCTGAATCATTTCTCAGTGCTACAGATGTTCCTGAAGCATGTTCTCAGAATCAGAATGGACAGATAGGGCACCAGGAGCCTCACAGATGCTGTTTGTAGGTCAGGATGCTGGTCTCATCCTGGTACAGAGTGAAGTCATGGTGGGAATGCAGGGCAGAGCAGTGTCCATGCCCATCCCTCTGGTTAATGCCCCTTGACTAAAGGAGCAGCCACTAGCCTTGGGCCAAGGGCAAAATGAAGAAAACACTTGACATGGTTCTGTCCCCAAGGCTCAGCACTTGTGTAGCTGTGGAGTCAAGAAGTCGTGGAGTGAGGGTTCTGAGCTGATCTTGAGTTATGTAGACACAAGTCTCCTAGTTTTCTTCCACTTCCCCACAGAAGCAACATGAGCGAGAATGGTACCAGAGGGGTGGCTCTCAGTCCATTCGAAAAACTAGATTCGACTGAATTTGACTTTGAGAATTCTTAGACTCTCCTCTAGATTGACTAGAGAGAGTCAGATGGCTTTGGGGGTTGGTTGGCTCACAAGCTTTTCCCAATGTGAGCAGAGACCAGGATGCCCAGATCTCACCAGAGTCACATTTAGACAGCGCAGTAAGCCGGAGCCACTGCTCCTCCAGTACATGCCCTGCCACAGGGTCTAGGGAAAAGGCAGATTCTGGTTCAGCAGGTCGGGGTACACCTGCAGTCCTGTGTTCCTCACCAGCTCTGAGGGGCACTGATGCCATTGGTCCACCGACTGTCCTTTGTGTAACAAGGTTCCAGGGTGCCAGCATTCTTACTAATGTTGGAATTGCCTCATAGTTTGTTTTCATTCTAATGATAAAACTGTTTCAAATATATATGTCATTACAGAAGGTACCGGGTTAGCCATGGAGATGTAGGAGTTGTGTTTATTCAGATTGCGGGTATGAAATAACATGCTATGAGTGCTTCCCTCTTGCTCAGCCTGTCTCAGTTTCCCGAGGCTCCTACTTGGCTGACCCTGCTCTGGTGCTTGGCTTTCTACCAGTACTACACATCGCATGAGCTATAACCACCAGACATGTTGTGCTGGGATTCAGAATGCTGTTTGCACAGTAGTACTTATGCATGCACACACATGACTTCCAAACTTCCTTCTTTCATTAGGGTTAGGAGGGGTACTAGGGATCCTACCCTCAGCTTTACATACACTAGGCAGGCACTCATACCACTACATAGCTCTTTATTTTATTTTTTGAGACAAGGTCTTACTACGTAGCCCTGGCTGGCCTGGAACCGTATGTAGACCAGGCTGGCCTCGAACTCATTGCCTCTGCCTCTGCCTCTGCCTCTGCCTCTGCCTCCCAAGTGCTGGGACCACTTTATTTTTGAGATAGGATCTTGCTGAGTAACCCAGGTTGACCTTGAATTCAGTGTATAGCCCAAGCTGACCTTGAACTTGCAGTTCTTCTGCCTCAGGCTCCCAAATGCTGAGATTACAAGTATGCACCATCACACTCAGGGTCACACATACTCTCAATAATAATAATAAAATAATAATAATAATTTTAATCCTTGGGATCTGCAGCTGCATTTGGGTGGACATTCTGAGCCTTGTCTCCTTGAGTTGCCTCCTTCCTTCATTCATTCCCCTCTTCTCTCCTCATCTCCCGACTTTTCAATGGCATCGTGACCCTGGAAGGCAGAGAGCTAGGCATGACCGTAGGCATAGGCAAAGAAGGGCAGCCATAGTGGAGACATGGTGTATGTGATGGAGCATGATGTTGGCTTTTCCCAGGAGATGACCTCATGCGCTGTGTGGACCTCTACAACCAGGCACAATCCAAGTGGTTTGAAGAGATGGTGACTACCACACTGGTACGTGATCAGAGATACATGAGCACAGCGGTGAGGAAACTCAAGTACAAGCAGCCCTGGCCTGGGGACAGTGAGCACAGGGGGGTGGAGTAGAGGTGACAGCAGAGATGATAGTAGATCTGTCAGCACTGGGTCCAGCCTTCAGTCTGGGCCTGTCTGTGCTCCAGCACCTCCTGCTGTATAAACTTGTCAAGGGCCAAGTCTTTCTCTGTACTCCCTTATCCACTGAGGGGTCAGGATCAACCAGGAAATTTCCCTATCTCAGTGAACCATGGCCCTACTGGGATAAACAGCTAAGCAGTGGAAAGAATGATAGTCTCCACCCCCCAATACACCCACTAGGAAGAACCTAGGTCCTTGATGGGGGTCCTTACAATGCTTATGAATAGAGAGGCTGGGGAACTCTAGAGGGGATATATATAGGCCTCTGCCCATGGTGGCAGGTCCCGTGTACTGTCCTTCATGTTCCTTATAAAGGAGCAGCCTCTCCTTGATGGTCAAGATTTGCCTGAGTAGGACAATAGAGTGTGGCTGGTACCTGCCCCAGATGGGAGAGGAGATGGCCTGGTGTCCAAAACCACCCTGTCCATCTACCACAGGCCTGACTAGCCACCTTCTCCAGGTGTCAGCCCACCTGGGAAGATTAGTGGCCTCCTCCAGAGTCAGTGGCCTGGTTTTCCTCCCCATTAATCTTCTAATTAAGCCCCCTTCTTTACCCTCCTTCAGCTTAGTCTCCTGAGCAGCGACCTAGTTACCCATACAATAACACCCTAATCTTCCAAAGTCAGAGCCAGCTAGAAACCAAAGACAAGCCCTCTCCAGTCAGTCCTTCCTTTGATGATGGACACCACAGAATTTCCAAATTGGTCTGCTCTGTCCCTCAGCACTAGGGGTAGACAGAGACTAGAGAGCTGGAGAGGCTAGGAACACACATCCCATTGATCTACCCATCGGGGTGTTGGGCTGTGGCTGGAGAACATCATTGATCCTGGTTTAACTGCTATTCCTCCCATAGTTCCATGTCACTTTGGGCAATTGGTGACAATCACACAACCTCTCTCTAAGTCATAGTGAGGACAGATAGTGCACATGAGGAGTTCCACTCTGTGCTGCCAGAGCTGCTCCCATGGCCTTCACCTTCACTCTAGAGATGAGCTTGTCCTTCATCAAAGCCTAGAGGGTCACATGGGCTGGAGATCCACAGCCACGGACTTGTGTTTGGGGTACGTGGTGTTCTGGCACCTGCTCAGTGGGAAGGTCCCCAAAATAGGAAATGTACTCAGAACCCTCTGGTCTTTCCTTCATTGGCAGGAGCTGGAGCGGCTGGAGGTGGAAAGGGTGGAGATGATCCGGCAGCATCTGTGCCAGTATACACAACTGCGGCATGAGACAGACATGTTCAACCAAAGCGTGAGTTCCCCACCCTTACTTACACTGAGACCAGCAGGACCCCTCGGGACCAAGGGGCTGAGGAGAGCCACCAGGCTCTATGCCTTGGCAGGTTAAGTGGCCATTACAAATGAATCTGTTCTAAAGCAGGCATTGGGCAGGTGCTCCTGCCAGAATTAATTCTTGAAATAGGCTTAGTATGGTTGCCCTGGATGCCCATGTGACCCATCCCGAGCACATGAGAGAAGTGACCCTGGAAGTGTTGTGCAAGGATAAAGAAGCCATCTTATTTTGTTTTACCTGTTTTTAGGCAGTCTGGCTATGTAGCCCAGGCTAGGCCTTGAACTTGTGGTCTTTCTGCCTTACTTTCCCAAGTACTGGGACCACAGTCAGTTATGCGTTTCATCCAGCCAAAGACATTGTCTCCCCTGCAAATTTCTTTAGAAACCAAACCCAAAATACAACTTCTAAAACCATAGAAAATGCCCAAACTAAAGTTCTATTATCCTTTTCTGAGGTTGGCCACGTGAAGACAGATGAAAGAAGAGGTTGCGGGCCCCAAGTCTTTAGGGTAGCCTGCCTTCTCATCCAGGCCTTAGGTCTGCAGAGTAGCTCTGGCTCTCAAAGTGCTCTGTGTGTTCTAAACCTCAAACAGCCTCCTGTGGGGCTTTGGAACCTTCTAGAAGTGCTGGTCAGAGGGTATCTCCAACAGCAGCAACATGGGGCATAGGAGACATCCTGGCTCAGCTGCCACCTCTGACAGTGATCCCCCATTCTATGTCCCTTGCAGACAGTCGAGCCTGTGGACCAGCTGCTTCGAAAAGTGGACCCAGCCAAAGACAGGGAGCTGTGGGTCAGGGAGCACAAAACGGGCAACATCCGCCCTGTGGACATGGAGATCTAGAAGCGCCTATGTGGCCCCCGAGGGTCCTGCCAAGGAGAAGGCTGGGGGTCCTATGGAGAAGGGGTGGCAGCTCCCTCAGGGTGGAGCTGCCCTATTACCTGCTGTCCTGTCCAGTGAGAAGAAGAAAAAGAGCTGTTGATTCCAGAAGGAGGCCCCAATATTCCCAGGCCACGAAGACGGACCCACAGCCCTGTCTTTGTCTGTGAGACTGAGGCCCCCAAATCTCATGCTTGTCACTCTGAGAACAAACTGAGGCTAGAATGCTGTGGTCCCTGCTTAGCTCCTCAGAGGTGGCTGTCACACACTTGTGCACTGGATGCCCAAAGCCCGCCCTCTGGCTGACCTCTCATCTCCAGGGCTATAAAAGAAGAAAGGAGAAAGAGGTCCCTGTCTCCAGCCAGTGTCAGGGTCAGCATCTAGGATAGGAGACACCATGCAGCTCACAGTCCGAACCTGTAACCTCTTGCAGCCCTCCCTATTTTTCCATTGCATTCTGGGAGCCCACGTCTGGCTTTTCTCAGCCACTCTTCATCCCCAGGGGTCTTAGGAAGAAGGCTTGCTGCTTATCTTCCCAACTTTGTCTGGTGAAATCAGGATGGAACTACCTCAGTTGGCAAAGTAGGCCTGATTGGAGTACTGATTCATAGCTCCTATCAGATCAAGCATCAGCTGTAAAGTCTACCCTGGAAGTCCCAATCCACCCTTCCTTCAGCCTCTTTCTCAAGAAGCGCCCCCCCATTCCCACCCTGATACCCCTTCTCAGACTCAGCAGAATCCTCAGACAGCTGTGTGCGTGTCCAGAGGCTTTGGAGGTAGAGTCTTAGAAAGTCCATCTACCACCATGCCCTCTACATCATACTAACCTTGATTAGTGCTCTCCCAGACTGCCCAGCACAGGCTTCATGGGACTGAGTCCGTCCTGTGTGGGAGACAGGTCAGGATAAGTCCCAGTCATTGCCCAATGGTTCCAGTTCTGCAGGAGAATAATGGGGTTGGAACTGCTGTTCCCTGATTAGGCACTGGACAGTCGTTACGATTCTCATGGCCACAGTAAGTTGTTGCCACCCAGGAAAGAGGGAACTTCAGGAAGCTACAAGAACAGGAAGCAGATTCCAGCTGGGCACTTGTGCCCTGAGAGTCTATCTTTCTTCATCTTTCCCACTGATGACTTTGTATTTGACCTGTCCATCTCCCAGGAGCGTAGAATCCTCTGAGCACATCTCCTGAATCTTTCAGTCTTATATGCTAATAAGACAACTTACTAATCTTGACTTTTTTGGCACCTTGTTCACAGAATTGTCTCTCATAGTTATTAGGAAGATGTCTAATATACTACAGCAAGCTAAACGTTGTCACTGTTCTTACTGAAATGTCTTAACCACAATGGCCAGCGTGAGAGCGTTTCACCAACATAAAGGATGGGACTATCCTTTGGGATACATAGATACTCCTTCTGGGTCTGGGCATGGGCCATGACACCAGCTACCAATTTTAGGATATTATTTCTTGGTTTCTTTATTCGAAATGGGTGCTAGTGGTAATTGCTTTGTGGCTTAGCAACCGAATCTGTGGATGATGGTCAGACATTCCAAGTCTTGTCATTACACAGAGGTTTTGAATATAATGTGGCTCATGACCTTCATTCCTTCACCCCCATCAGAAGGGTTGAGAGTCCTCTGATCTGTTGCTTCCTCCAGCATAACCCCACTTGGCCAGTGTGGGTCATTCTGAGGTCATTCTCTCCTCCTCACGTCCTTTTCAGTCTCTCCACATCCTCTTCTTTCTCTTCTTCCATCATTCTATTCATGAAGCATTTTGTTACAGCCAAGCAGTATGTATGCTCTGATCTGAGGACAGGGTATGACAGCTCTGTTATCAAGCAAGCCAGGAGACTGATTTCTGTAGACATGACCTTTCCTGGATAACCTTGATTCCTATATTCAGATACTCTGCAGATTTGGGTTGTCAGAGGTACCATCAGGTTTTCTGCTGATTAAGTTGGATTCGTTCATTTGTGCATTTGGTTTTGTTTTTTTTTTTTCTCTCAGTAAATGCTTACAGCTGAGTGCTGAGTGGTAGAACTATACTTGTGTTTAAGAAGACACTCTCCTGCTCACTCTGTTCCCCAGGCAGACAGGTGAGTTTAGAGCCTTCTGGAGAGGAGAAATATCATACTTTCCACCCACTGGGATTCTTTTGAGTTTTAACTACACCAGGAGGTAGTGACCTAGCAGTGAGATTTGAATCTCCTGATAGTCGGACTCTCAGCTCATATCCAGCTCCAGTTCAGAAATGGATTTACTTGGTTTTAAGTAAGTTTCTTTGCACTACAAATAGGAAGAATGAAGCCAGGGAGAGCCAAGGGTGCCATGAAATGAAACCCAGAAATGAGAGGGTGGAGTCAAGTGTCTAAGTGCCCTGTCCCTCACAGCACCCTGTGGATAGCCAAGATGACAGTGAAGTCTGGCCAATCTAGAAGTGCATTCTGGAGTGTGAGCCTCATTTCAGTTGTTGCCTAGGGGTTTTGCTTTGTTGGAGGTCCTGGGCACCTAACCTAGGATCTCATATGTGCTAGACAAGTGCTCTGCCACTGAGCTACACTCCTGCCCTGTTATTTTGCATTTGCGAACATGTCAGTTCTTGGAGGATTCAGCTGGGTTTGTTCAGGGTGGGTAGCATCCACTGTTCATGCTGACAACAGCCCAGCCTCCTCCACTTGCCCCCACCCAGGAGAGCCAATGCACTTAAGTTTTGCTTGCAAAAGCCTGATTTAAAAAAAAAAATCTCTAAAATGAATGATGTTCAAAATGGGTTTGTTGTCATGACAACCCCCAGGAAGAGATGCTTGTTATCGTTCATTATTTTCTAGTGCTTCTGCGGAGTACCACAGTGCACAGGCCATTTGGACGATGTGGACGGCAGCCCTGGGCTCTGTCCCATTGACTGCTGTGTGGCTGCCTTTGTACCTTCACACAACAGCCTGCTGATCCAGAAAGAGTTCTGCAGTCATTGATTAACAGCTGGAACAAACCATACAAAATCATGATGGGTTTGGGTCTGTTCCCTCTGTGAAATCCAGGCAGTTACAAGGTTAATGGATGGGTGCATAAAAATCTTGGCTAAACCAAAGTCCCTTCTTGGAAATGCAAGCCATAAAATTCAAAGGGTGTCAGAAGACCTTGGCTTATTTCAGGGGTTTTGCTTTTAGCTGTGAGTAGCCTTGACAAGGAGAGTTTAAACAGGAGTCTGAAGACCCATTGGGTCTTATGTAGCTACGGGAAAGCACTTTGCAGACACTAAGCAGGGGAGCAGGTCAGCTGCCTGCAAGCTTGACCTAGATACCCCTTGTTCCCATAGTTCCTCCCACCCCTACAAAATACATTTTCACCTCCTTTTTCCAGGCTGATTGAGGTGTGATTGCATATAGTATAATTCATCCTTTCAAATAATGCAGATCTTCAAACTTTGGCATATGTGATCTTATAACCACCAAGATCAGCATGTCCTTCATTATAAAAACTACCTTCATATACTCTTGGGGTCAGTTCTGTCCCCCCACCTCTGATCTAGCAGATGTTCTGACCAGTCAGTGTTCTGACCCTACAGTTTTTCCTCTTCTATAATCCCATGTAAATGGAGTCACACTGATGCAACCTTAGTAAGTCATGATGTCATATATGTCAGCAATGGGTCCCCCTCTCATCACTGAGTAGTATTCCATCGCATGGGCAGACCACATTGTTTATTTGGTTTTAAAATGAATCTTTTGTCCTGGAAGTAGTAGCCCCAGCCCTTTGGCTTGTTTGTATAACTGCTTCCGGCCAGGGTCAGAGCATAAAACAGGTGGGAGTGTGGGGAGTGGCAGCAGTCTCACCCCTCCACCCTGTTACAACCTGTGATTTGTCTCTCAGCTTGAGAATGGAGGGGTAGCTGTCACCTTACTCCCCATGGGATTGTGAGAAAACATGGATGAGCCAGCTGGGGCCTTAGACACAGCATGTTCCCTTCCTGAATCCATGTCCCCTGCCAACTGAAGGTCTTGTTCTGTCCCCACCCCTTCTCGTTGCCTATTTGCAGCCTTCATGCGTGGTCATATGTATCCTGGTAGCTCCATTGCTGTGGCCAGAAGTCCTCCTCCTGACAAGCAATTTTCCAGTTAGATCCAAATGGGGCTTTTAGTCCCACTCTGAGAGTGGTGTGGCTCCTCTCAGAACCCTCAAAGAAACTGTACCTTTTGAGAAACTGTCCCCAGGAGTCAGGACAGCTGTAAAGACAGAGCTACCAGATCAAATCTGTTGGTGGTGGTACTTTGCCTCATGGGCAGGCACACTGAGACTGGCCTGTGCCTATACCCTACCAGATGGTGGCAGATAGTGGCAGAGACAGGACCAAGCCCAACTAAGGCCAGGCCAGGTTGGGGTTGGGGTTCCATGGTGCCTACTCCTCCAAGCTATGTCTTGGTTATGCATTGCTGAATAAAAGGTGCACCCTAGAAGGTTCCTGGGAAGCTCAGGGTAAACTGGAGGCATTCCTGGGTTCAGGGGAGTTGAAGGTCAGGACTGGGAAGCTAGATCCCAAGAATCTCGAGATGGGAGGCAAGGCTGCTGGGACCCCAAGGGGAGGGCTCTTCAAATACCCTCCACCTGCAGGAGTATCATTTCTATGGGGGAATTCCTGAGGTGAGGGACCAGCTCCTCATTGGACCGTGGAGAGTAAGACGGGGCCCAAGATTAAGCCACCAATGCCCTAAACTTCTCATGCTGAATGTGGCTTTCAGGAGCTGTCCTGATGTATCTTGGGTAGGGGGCCATGGTGATGGCCTTTAGACTCTTACTAAGTGATGTTGGGGACCTGTCCTTTGTATTTGAGGCAAATTTCTAATGAGACTACAATGGTGGAGTGTGACACTGGGATAGAAAGAGTGAGAATGGCCCTGCCCCGCTGCCCTGATCCCCTGTTTGTCCTGCATCCTAAGAACAAACCCTGTCAGGGCTTCTGTGTATTCATCTGTCCTTCTCTGCAGCCCCCTCAGGAGACAGGCTTTCGGACCCAGGGACCGACATTCCGAGGGACACCAGCCATCCTGGGTGAGAGCCTGAATCTATAACCCCTCCCTTCTCTGAAGAAGGACATGGCCAGAGGCATCCCCTTCATGGACCCAAGCACATCAGCAAACCCCATGAAAGTGGAATTTTCTAACAAAATAAATGTGCTTGTTTGGTCTGTTTTCTGTAACTTTTGCTAAATACTTTATACATTTTTAATGTTGGAAAGCAGTGTCTCCTTGCCAGCATTCCTCGCCCGGGATGAATGTGTTTACTCCACACTGTATATCTTTCCATGCTCCGGCTGCCTAGACCAGTAAATAAAATGGATGTAATATAAGTTGTAAGTAACACCGTCAAAACTCTGATCCCAATGGAGGCTGCACGCCCCCCCCATAATAGCATTTGTGTGTATTAATGCTGAAAATTAAATGTTTAAATTAGAGTTTAAATCTTAAAGGCTTTTGCTATATATAATTGTCCTACATTATTATAAAGCACTTTCAGGAAGTTGGATGTGGTCCCCTGTCCCCCTTCAGCTCTGTGTGTATACTTGAGATGCTTAGATTCGTCCCATGTAAAATAAACTGTCCAGAGACACTGGGTCCCTCAGGGACCTCTTTCCTAGAAGGCCACACACTTCCTTTATACAGAGGGTCTCTGTTCCCCTGGGGCTGTAGGCACTGGAGATAGTCTGGCTCCCAGTGTCTTAGTAGAGGAATAAGGGACATCTAGACATTGATACCCAGGTGGACACAATGTTACTAACCCCAGTCTTATGCACCCCACCCCCTAGCTTAGCTCTCCATCTTGCTTCTGCCTTTGGGGTTGCAGCTATTGTTTCTTTTTCCATTCATCCATTCATATTTCCATCCAAAAACCACTGAGTGCTTTTTCCATGCCCTCTTCCCTGAGCATTGGGAATATATCAGTGAACTCTTCCCTGGTGCTTCCCCTGTAACAGGGGCAGACAGGCAAAGCCCAGAGAGCTAGTAAGTACATCAGCCTGAGCGACTGCAGAGCACTGTTACAGGAAACTCAGAGGAGTGAGGCTGGGTAACATTAACTAGGCCCCTGTGGAGAAGGTTGCATTTGATTAGGCACAAGGAGACCTGGGAGCCTGACAAGTCTCCAGGAAGAAAATTCTAGGCCAAGAGGAAGTCTCTAAATATCTGAGGTCAGTGTAGCTGGAGCAGAGGAGCCAGGAGAGAGAGAGCTTCTAGGACCCACTCAAGGAATGGCTACAGGATGGGGCAGGGGCTGCAGGGCTATGCCAGCTGTCACAAACCTTTAATATTCACTCTGGGGGAGGTGGACAGTCACATGCACAGCCTGACATCACTGTAAGTACCACAGAGGCAGGATCAACTGCTAGGAGGGAAGGTGTTGCTCTCTATTTGCCATAGGATGGGATTGGGATGGTGATCAAGACCTGGGTGTACTTTGAAGGTAGAGGCAAGAGGAGGTCCTAGCAGGTGGGTGCAGAATGTGGCAGGAAGAGAATTCCTGAAGATGACACTGAGGATCTGGATCCTGGAAGTTGAAGAGACAGGCAGTCGGTTCCCATAGTGGAGATGACTGGGGGGTGCCCTTCCCAGGTCATGTCCCTACTACTTCCAATCCTTTCTGTCTGAAGCTCCTGGCTCACAAGGGTCACCTTGTCCTTAGGCTCAGAGCAAGGGAGGTGGAGGAATGTAAGGAGGGCTGGAGTCTGAGCCTGTGAACAGCTGAACTCCTGCTTGAGGACAGCAAGACTGGCCCTTGAGAAACACGTGCTACTTAGTCCAGGCAAGGCTAGGAGGGATGGCACAAATGGCCCTGTCCCCTACAGCGCAGCCAGTGATCTTTGGGGCACTGGGAAAGTTTATGAGTCCAACTCAGACTTAACAAATCCATTCACAATACATCATCTCCAAAAACTTGTTTGGCTAATGAGGATGAGGGCTCCCTCTGATAGAAGATGTTTATGCAGGTTTTCAAACAAACCTCCAGGTCATGACCCCTCACTCTGAACAGTATCAACACAGCTGCCTGTGGTCCCCTCCTGGGATCCCCTCCCACAGGGGGTCCCTCTAGGGCACAGCAACCTGAAGACTGTGACCTGGACCCAGCTATGTCCCACCTGCTTCTAGTGCCTTTATCCTGTCTCTGGAAAGGACAGGAAAGCCAGGGAGCTCTGGAAGACCTTCCCCCAACCTGGAGCCATGTGACTCCTCACTGTGATGTCTTCTGTTGCCATGGCAGCCCCAGCACCTCACCTAGGAAAATGAAGAGGTTGGCCTCTACACTCAGCCTCTTTGAGAGAGGGACAGTTGTAGTATATCCAGAGCCCAGAACTGGCCAGCCTGGTCTCCATTTCTGGCTTTGCAATTCTGCAGCTGTGTAAGTCAGGGTTGGACACAGGTCTTAGGCACCTCCATTTCTTACCTATGACCTGGCCTTGGTTGTGGGCTGGCTTCACAAGGATAGCCTGACATTTTAGAGGCACTTCTCTTTTTTTTATAAAAAAAATATTTCTTATTCTGTGCATGTGTGCACAGGTACACACGCAAGCACATGCTGTATATACATGCCTGCAGGTGCACTTGCACTATGGTGAGCATGTAGAGATCAGAAGAGAACTGACTCTCCTTCCACCAAGTGGATTCCTGGGGTTGAATTTGGGTCCTCAGGCTTGCAGGTCAAGCTCTTTTACCCTAAGCCATCTCACTGCCCCTCCAGGCACTTCTAACTACCTCCCAGTCAGGGCTCAGAACTAAGGCTGGCCTCACTTTTCTCCCATCCCCTAGCAGAAGCAACAGGCTGCACTGACTTTCCATTACTACATGTGATTCCTGAACTCCACCTGGGGTAGGTGGGTGTTCAATGTGATTTCTAACTGTGCTTGAGAACAAATACCTCCTGCAGGACAGTGAGAGGGTCCAGAGGACTCCTCTAAGAAATCAAACTCTCTCATAAGCTTGTGGATAAAGAAAGTTTATACACACACACACACACACACACACACACACACACACACACACCTAAAGTTAAGGTTTCCTGCTCTGAAAACCACACTAAGTAAGTTATGTAAGAATCAGCACTTTAATGCTTGACCTTCTAGGTCTTTCCTAAGCAATGTTAAGGTGGATGCTGTGGTTTAGACTGTATTCCCCAGAGGCTCCTCCTATAGCACTCTGTTGGGTTGTGGTAGAACCTTTAAGAGATGGAGCCTGGTGGGAGAAGTTGTCATTAGTTCACGCCCTGGAAGGGAACATTGACACGCTGGCCCCTTCCTGCCTTTCTTTTTGCTTCCTAGCTGGCACAAAGTAAGCAGCTTCCTCCACCCCACATACCCACCATGAGGTCTTTGTTTTCTCAGCACAGGCCCAAGAACAATGGGGCCTGACCATGGATGGAAACCTCTGAGACTGTGGGCCCAGATAAACTTCTGTTTTTACCCTGATCATCTCAAGTATTTTGTCAGTGACAGAAAGCTGACTAGCACAGCAGGCCTAATGGTAGAAGACCTACCTCCATACCAATGGCCTGTTAGTAAACAGGGTACAAATTTCACTTACCAACCTGGAGACTCTGGAATTTCTTCTTTGTAATTCTTACCCCTAGTCTAAGGGTACCAGCTCACCCATCCTAGAGGACAATGCTGGAGTTCCAGGGCTCTTTCCCTCCAGCACTGTTAGGGTAAGCACAGTTAAACCAAGGGCTGTGCTTACCCTCCTGATGGATAACAAAGATTCAGCTCTGGTATGCCCTTGAGGGTTCTTCCTTATGCTCTAGGCTCACACCTGAGCTGCTAGTGCAGTGAGGTCTTCCTTTGTGCAACTCCCTGCCCTAAGCTGGTTATGTCCCCATCTCTCACTCAGCTAGTGTGCTATGGCTTCCTGCCCCCCTCCCCCAGCACCACACTGGGCTGTGAACAGACCTTCCACCTGAAGGCTGAAACTGAACCATAGCATATCACATTTGGACCACAATGTGCATTTTCTTTTTTAAAATTTATGGTCCAAGATTAATAGTTTTAAATTGCATTTTAGGTCCAGCAGTATGGTTCAGGTAAAGGCACTTGCAGTCAAGCCTGTGTTCAATCCCCAGAACCCACAGTGGAAGGAGAAAACCAACTCCTGCAAATTGTTCTCTGACCTCCATGTACACACAAACACATTCACACACGTTAATTAACTAATCAATTAAACGTATTTAAAGGATCTGATTTCAGTGCTTTCGAGATGACTTAATGGGTAAGAGCACTTACTATGCAAGCCTGAGGATGTGAGTTCCAATCCCCAGAATTCAACATGAAAAGCCAGGCATAGTCATGCTACCCCTGTAACCCTGTTATGAAGGGGCAGAGACCAGAGGATTGCTGGGGCTTGCTGGCCACCAGCCTAGTTTCAGTCAAAGACTCTATCCCAAGGAAATAAGACAGAGACAGAGGTATGACCTCCACATACACGCACAGCCCATGCACACATACATGTGCAGAACACACCACACAAACACATATACACACACCAAAAAATAATTCCTTAAAACACACCACACACACCAAAAAATAATTCCTTAAAACACATCTCTCTCTCTCTCTCTCTCTCTCTCTCTCTCTCTCTCTCTCTCTCTCTCTCTCACACACACACACACACACACACACACACACCACAAAAAATAATTTCTTAAAAATATGATTTCGGTTTTTTTCTTGAGTAGTTAAAAGATCTTACAAGTGTAATCTGACTCTAGGGTAGAAAAACCAAGTCAAATTCAGTTTCTCTTCCCACACACAGTACAGTTCACCTCTGTGATCCCAAAAGGATCCCAAAAGGATTTCACAGCCATTGTGCAATGGACACCAGCTGGGTATCCCCTAGAGCAATCAGCTCTGACATTACGCACCTGGAGATGCCAGTTGAGCATCCCCCCACCCTCCACGATGGCCCCTGGTCAACATAACGGAGTTCCAGGCCAGCTGAGGCTACGTGGAGATACAAAAAAAAAAAAATTTTTTTAAAGGTGGGAAAAGATGAAAGTATATGTTTTATTTCTATGATCTGCCTTTGGAAAGAGAAATTCAAATTTGTACAACCTGGGGGGAAAGGGGGGATCAAGTAGAAAGAAAGGCAGGAGAAGATAAGAGAGAAAGATTTTGCTTTCTGAGGGCTAATGTACCCCGACATTGTCCCAGGCCCTCAGGAAGTAGCAAAAGTATTGGGAGTTTCCAGCCATGAATTGTGGGTGAAGGTGTGTGTGTGGTGTGTGTGTGTGTGTGTGTGTGTGTGTGCATGGATTCTAATATCACAGCTAGGCCACAATCCCCTGTGACTACATTCAAATGAACATTCACCAGCCACCCCTTCCCAGTGTGACACAGGCCTCACTGTCCCCTGTTGCCTCCCTGGTCTGCTTGCTTTGCTCAGTTAGCCTATTCACCTCTCCCTCTAGGCAGTTTTATTTTTATCCTTGTTATTGATGAATAATAACAATGCTGTTTGACTTACAATAGGGCCACACCCTGAATAAACCCAAGGTAAGTTGAACACATTATAAGTCAAAATTGCCTTTGGCTCACCTAATGCTTTGAACATCACAACTCAGGCTTATTCACCTCGATCTGCTCAAAATATTTACACTAGCCTATGTTTGGACAAAATCCTCTAGTGCAAAACCTATTTTATAATGAAGGGTTGACTACCTCATTCAGTTGTATGTGGCATGGTATGCTTCCATACCATGGTAAAGTCAAAGCATTGTAAGTGGGCCTATTTGTGTGCTCAGTACTTCCTCAGAGCCAGTTTGATCTATTCCAAGTCTGTGATACCTGTTGAGCCATTTCTCTGGTGCTGCTCTGCCCATTCACTCAAGAACTATTTAACTGAGGGCCCCAACTTGCCAGGTGCTGTTCTGGCAATGGAAATACAGCCAAGAGCAACACAAAATCCTTCCCTTTCTGGAACCTCCACTCCCATGGGCAGTTTGGGGTTTACCAAAAGGGATGGGGAGTGCCCTTATAAATACAGTGTTTCATACCGGCCTTGCTGAGAAGGTGACATGTAAGCCCATATGTGACTGAGGTAAGGGATTAGAAAAGCAACCAGGCCAGAGAGGTTAAAAAGCATGTCCTAGGTCACACAGCTAGTTCAGTGACAAGGCTAGGATTTGAACCCAGCTGGTTTCAGAGCCTGTGCCCCTAACCACTGCATTATAAGACCCCCGTGGGAGATGCCAACCCAGACCCCTCAACGGGGAAGACAAAAAGGGGCTATTGAAGCTCTTTGGGCTCCAGTGGGTACTTGATTCAAGGGTCCCACTCCATTCCTTTCCTCCCAGGAGGCCCAGATGAAGTAATCACCTCCTCTGAGCTATTTATTTAGTCTCAGGAGGGTTCCGTGCCCCTCCTCCCTGCAAGGACTGGGAAAAACTGGCTTCAAATCCCCCTAATCCACCAGCACTTAGGTGTCCACCCCACAGCAGTGCACAGCCTCCTCAACCTGGCAGCCACGCGTGTCGCTCTGCCTGCCCGCCCTGCGGTGCCCACTCTCCCTCACTATGGGGAACAGCAGGAGCGGGGCCCTGTCCAAGGAGATTCTGAAGGAGCTGCGGCTGAACACCAAGTTCACCGAAGAGGAGCTGTGCGCTTGGTACCAGTCCTTTCTGAAGGAGTGTCCGAGCGGCCGCATCACGCGGCAGGAGTTCGAAAGCATCTATGACAAGTTCTTCCCGGGCGCTGACCCCAAGGCCTATGCGCAGCACGTGTTCCGCAGCTTCGATGCCAACAGCGACGGCACCCTGGACTTCAAGGAGTATGTGATCGCCCTGCACATGACCACGGGGGGCAAGCCCACGCAGAAGCTCGAATGGGCCTTCTCCCTCTACGATGTGGATGGCAACGGGGCCATCAGCAAGAATGAGGTGTTGGAGATCGTCATGGTTAGTGAGTCTTTGCCCCTGACGCCTTTATGAGACGGGATGGAGCAGCCACTGCCACACGAGAGCAGTGGGGACCTGTCCAGGGAACCAGGAAAGCAGGGAAGGGAAGGGTCTCCAATGTACTGAAGAGAATAGAGGCTGGCATGTGCCTGCAGAGCCATCTGCTTCCTAAAGAATAATCTGAGTGTTGATTAATAGCTGCACTTTCAAAGGTCCCTTCTAGGCCACCCCTGTTCTTCCCCTCCTTCCTGTCCCCTAACTTTCCTTCTTCCCCCTTCCTCATTTCCTCTCGTTCTTCCCTCTTTCTTTCCTTTCTTCTTCTCTCCCTCTGTTCCTTCCACGCTCTCTTTTCTTGTTTTCCTTCCGCTCAGCCATTTCCTTCCCTCTTCCTTTCTTATTCCTCCCTCTCTCTTTCCTTTTTACCTTCCACCTCCTTCCTCCCTCCTCTCCTCTCTTCCTCTCTTCCTTCATCCTGCCTCCTTCCTTTCTTCATTAAAATGTCTTTCAAATTGTTCAGCAACACACATTCAGATCCTGACACAATAAAACTGAGACACGTGTTTCAAATACAAACTAGAAAGAGACCGTAGTTGGGGATGTGGAAGCTGGGCTTTGGTCCTGATGCCTTCCTAACCCCAGTATCATCTTCCTAACCCCAGTATCTGCAGTATCTGCACCTCTAGGCAAGGCTCCTATGAGCTCCTGCCTGCTCCTCAAAGCCCCCAGCTGGAGTTCTCTTCCATCTCCACTGTCCTGGGCTCAACTGTTTGTTCTGAGTATTTTAGGTGTCTCAAAAATAGCTTTTCGATAATACATAAGACTGTCTAATACATACTCTGTGAAATTTAGAAATGTATGCAAAAGAAAATTAAGATTGTGGATTAAAATCTACAACCAAGGTACTGTCGTTAGCTTATTGCTGCATGACTTTCCAGTCTTCTGTTCAAACAATTCTGGAACTATAACATATTAGCATATGGTTTTTGTTGTGGTGGTGGTGTTGTTTGTTTGTTTGTTTGTTCGTTTGTTTTGGTTTTTTTGAGACGGGGTCTCCCAGTAGCCCCAGCTGGCCCGGAACTCACTATGTAGACCAGGCTGTCTTGAGCTCACAGAGATCTGCCTGCCTCTGCCTCCCAAGTGCTGGGATTAAAGGTGTGTGCCACCGTGTCTGGCAGCATATGGTTTTACCATGCTCTTTTTCAGTTACTCTTTTATCATGAATATTTCCCATATCATCTTATATTCTTCAGAAACATTTTTTGTTTTGTTTTGTTTTGATGGGAGTCTAGGCTGTCTTCAGGTTCTCTCTCTTCTTACCTCGGCCTCCCAGGAGCTGGGATTTCAGGTATGCACTGTCATAGCCAGGTTAAAATTCTGTTCTATGGAAAGACCATAGGTCATTTAAATATTCTTATGTTTGGAGGCTTTCAGTTTTTTCCCTATCATAGCACTTAAAATTCTTTTTTAAAAAATATCTTCTATTCCTTCTGAACCCGCCTGTTCCGTCACTTGCTTTATTTTTCTAATTCCATTCCTATTAGATGGAAAAATAGTCTTCATTTTTATGTCTTTTTTGGTACATTTTTATCATGTTTTTATATTCAGAATTCTCCCCCTGCTTATTAGGAGAAGCCTCAAATGTAAGAGTAAATCCTGCAGCTAAAAACAGGCTAGGTCAGCCATGGAGCCAGGAGCCAGTGAGTGGCACCTCACCACAGGGGGCTCGGGGAGCCCACAAAGCAAGCTCTTCTGTCTTGGCTTTGGGGTCTCTGGGAGGCATAGGATGGGGACCAAGTCTTCAGAGCCACCTAAAGGATGCTGGGTGGTGCTCTTCCAGAGAAAGATGAAAGGAAAGAAAGAGAAAGTTTAAGGAAGAGGGGAGGAAGGGAGCTGCAGCTGTGCAAACTGTGCAAGCCCTGCCAGTTACCGGGTCACAGGGTCATTGTTAGAACATGGGTCTGGAAGTCAGAAATGATGAGTTCTGTACCAGCCCTGACACTAACTTATGATGTAGCTGTGGGAAAGGCTTATAAGCTCCCTGAGCCCAGGGTGAGGCTTTAATGATCACTAGGGCCTTTCCCAGGACCCTGAAAACCTTTTTGTTGTCCTAGAACCAGTGGGCAAGGACAGCTGTTGATCTGCCTATACTCCAAGCTGATTATACAAGGGTAGCAGTGCTCTTGGCTCTTCAGGGAAGCATCAACTTTGGCCAGAATCAGCAGCCTCCCAGTTCCTCATGTCAATGTGCCTGCCCACACCCTGAGCCTACCCAACACCCAAGGATCTACAGCCTTGAGTGTCCTCTATGATCCTGTCTGGACCTGAGGTTATTGAGTCAGGAGAATCCTAGAAACCTGTAGTTAAAAGGACAAATAGAGGTCACACCCTCCCCTTCTCTGATCTCACAGGTCAGGAGCACTTCTGGCTTTGCTCTTGATTGGAGAACAGAGAGGGAGCTGAAAAGGACCTAAAAGGCCAAAATTCATTCTGCCCTTCTCTGGGCCCCTCCCTGAGCTGGAGGGTACATGAGCAAACCTTTGCAAAGTCTTGTTGATGCTTCCCTTTCTCCTTCCCTGGCCTTGCTTCATGTTCTCTAGCACTGAGATAAGCAAGCCCTGGTGTGATACAGAAATGCACATTCTAGAACCAAACTGGCTTAGAATCTCTGCTGTCTGTTGGGTAACTTTGGGTAAGTTAGCTGTCTCAATTTTTTGGTCTATAAAATGGGACCAATCATCCCACTCTGTAAGATTGTTATGAGCATTAATATAAATATTCTTAGAAGGTTATGTGAGTGTCCAACAAATGTTAAATCCAGCCCTGATAGGAAACTGAGATATATCATGGCCTAGGAAGAAACTGTTTCAAGCTCTCAAACCTGTGGATGGCAGGGTCTGTGGTAGTGGCCCCCACATTCCAACCTTGGGGTTGTTGTGGGGTTACCTTGGGAAGGTGGTTTTTCTTATTTTCATTTTTTTCTAAACAAGACTATTATATCTACTTAGAAAATTCAAATAGCACTAAAAAGTGAAAAACACTAAGTGAAAGTCTTTCCACCCCTCTTTCATATTGCATTCTCTGTCCCTTATGAAAATCTCAAAAACACAGATTCCTGGGCCCCATCCTCAGGAATTTTGATTCAGTAGACCATGTGGGGCTCTGGCGGTCATCTGTGCTGTCACCTTCTTGCCTTAGAGGACACCTGATCCATAGGCTGTTTGGGCACTGAGGGAGGGAAATTGGATGGTCATAACCCAAATTGTGACCTGGGATTTCCACAAATCCTTTCCAAAATTCACCTATTGTCTTTGTGTTTGGGAGGGGGTATTTGCTACGTGTGGTGCTGAGGATCAAATCTGGGGCCTCATGCATATTAGGCAAGTGCTTTAACCACTGAGCTACATTCCTGCCCCATCTCACAAGAGACAAAAACAAAACAAGACAACTTTGTCATAGAAGCTATCCCAATAGGAGTGATGGAAGGCCTCACTATGGTTTGGGTTTCTGTTTCCCTAATGATTAATGAGGCTCCATAACTTTTCATATACCTGTTGGGCATTCATATTTTTTCTTTGAAATGTCTGTTCAGTTCCCTTGTCCATTTCTAATTTAGTTATTTGTTGTTTTGTCACTGAGTTGTAGGCATTCTTTACATGTGAATCCCTTATCAGATACATGATTGGTAAAATATCTCCCCGTTTCATAGTTGCCTTTTCATTCTGTTGTCTCCTTTGCTATACTGAAGTTAAGTTTGATAGAATCCCACTTGTTCATTAAATCATTCTCATGACCATTGTATGGTGCTTAGCTCCCTCTAGGAATTGTATAGTTTGGGGTAGAAGATTAAGTCTTTAATCCATTTCTAGTAGGGTTTTATGTATGCTGTGAGACCTGGGTTCCCAGGACTGCCGAGCCCTTCCTAGTCCTTGTCACAAGATCTCTCCCCTGGTCTGGTACAGGCTATTTTCAAAATGATCAATCCTGACGACATGAAGCTCCTGCCAGATGATGAAAATACCCCAGGAAAGCGGGCGGAGAAGATCTGGAAGTTCTTTGGAAAGAAAGATGATGGTGAATTCCTTTTTCTTTGTTGCCTTTGATTTTATAGCCTTAGCCTTCTCCTGGAATCCCAGCAAGAGTCCTTCTTCTGAGTCACAGCACCCAGGTGGAACTGGGGACACTTCATGCCACCACACTTTGTCCAAGCTACCTTCATAGGTCTTGGGGGGTATGGTCAGAGGGTTAGCAAGGTCTGCCTCTGTCCTCAAGCTGATGCTGGTCATGGCGGTTGTCACCATAGCCCCACAAAACCCACTAGCTGCCTGGATTTCTTGAGGAGAAAGGAAAACAATAAATTATGCTGTTGAAGAAAAATATTTTTTTTCCCAGCACCCAGTAGGCAGAGGCAGGTGGATCTCTGTGAGTTCAAGGCCAGCCTGGTCTACATAGTGAGTTTCAGGACACTGGGGCTACAGGGAGACTCTGTCTCAAAAGGACCAAAAAACATTATCTTTTGTTATAATGATAAGATCTGGCTCTGAAGCCCAGCTAGCATTGAACTAATAATACTCCTGCCTCAGCCTCCTGAGTATTGGGATGACAGGTATGCACTACCACACCCAGCTTTTTAACTACATTTAAGAAATTCTAAAATTCAGAGTCAGCAAGCTCATTAACCATTTGTCTACAAAGGCAAGTGCAGATGGACAGCACCCATTTCTTGCTTCAGGCCACTTGACTTTCAAAATTCTTCCCTACGTAGAACCAGAGCAAACGGCAGCTCACCCAGCCCAGAACTGACAGCAAGGCCAGTAACTAGGAAGTCAGTTTCTGTGTCCCCAAAGCCCCACCAAACAGGGGGCTGGATTCAGATTCGATTGATAGAGATTTATTGGGAGATCAGCCACAGAAGGAGAATGGGGAAGCATCTAGAAAAAGCCTGGAGAAGAGCCCATGGTGTGCTTTCACTGGGCTTTCATGGTGTCCCACACCTGGTAAGTCACTGGCTAGACACAGCTCTTGGAGCTTGAATGCAGAGATGGATTCTAGAATTTGGCAGCTAGACAAACATGGGCTACTACTGGGAAAATATGGTACAAGAGTAGTATGTCATTAACATATACAGAGAGAGAGAGAGAGAGAGAGAGAGAGAGAGAGAGAGAGAATGTATTGATGCGAGACAAGGGCTACAGACTCACAGCCCCAAGGGCCAGGGTGGAGAAAGTGAGTGCAATGGATGGTAGCCCTGCCAAGTGATGAGACTGACAAACAGCTCTGACGGGTTCCAGCATTTTCCCTGTGGGACTATGGAGCCTGTACCAAGTGATTTTCTATTTTTTAAGAGATGCCAGCAACTGAGTTGTTTAAAAACCTGAAGTATCTCAGTAAATACAATATAGCATGACCCAACTACAGCTGTGGGGCCAATACTGGCCCCTTTAGTGACCTCTGGGGCATTCTCTTATCAGGGCTAAAGAAGAAAGTCCTAAGAAGGTACAAAACAAGAGCAGACGGAGATGTCCTGTTCCTACTCCACAGTCAGGTGATAAAATCAGAGAAAGACCCTGGGGTGAGATGGGCAGGTGCTAGGGGTGTATAACTCAAGAGTCACCTGAAAGTAAATACCTCCCTTAATTTTTTGCCCAGGCACTTTCCTTGCTTCATCCTGGTCCCAGCCCAGGTGGAACGTGTCCTCTGAGCACTTTCCTTACAGGGACACTGACTATGTAAGATAGAGTCCTGTGACAGTTCACACACTGCTCTTTATCTCTCTATCCTCTCTTCATCTGTCCGTGTTTTGAGTCCCTGTTCTGCTGTTTGCCAATCTGAAAACTGCCCCACAAGGTAGACTGGTATTGGGGATCTGACTGTTTCTTCTACTGGTGTGTGTGTGTGTGTGTGTGTGTGTGTGTGTGTGTGTGTGTGTGCACATCTGTGTTCACACAGTCCATCTAGAGACAAAATATCACCATGGCAGCAGGCTCTGATTGTGGGACTTTTAAGCTAGGAGTGAGGCTGGTGGGGTAGTTGGAACTATAAAATCCAAATCTCACCACCCAAACTCAGAGAAACATCTTGGATCCTATTCCCAACATGGACTAAGGATGTCCAAATGGTCTTGAACATATGTTAATGGAAACTGAATCTTGCTCAGTAGCACTGTGCCCACACTGTGTTCCAGGCACTGTGAGTGTGCCCATGGGCAGAAAGGAGCATGTCTTGTCCTAGACTTCTTTGTACATGGCACTGTCTTCCCACCAGACTCAGAGTATTCAGAGGAGGGACTTTTTCCCTCTTTCTTCTGTGCAACATCCCACCCTCTGCAATGGTTGTGACCCCAAGTACAGTGCCATGTAGCACACAGAGGAAGGGTGCAGTGACATGCATTTGGCTGGACTAAGCTTAATACAATACCACTTGAAAAAAAAACACACTGGGAATCCAGGCTGGCTAGAGGTTGGAGGCTCTCTCCTCATCCTCATTCCAAATGAGGGGTAGATCGGATCTGAGCTGAGGGACTAGAAGTGGAAGTCCTGGAAGACATGTCAGCTGGTGTCACAGGGTTGCCTGGGTACTGTGACCACACAAGAGATTTCTGTGCAAGTCAGGATGCCCTTGGCATGCCCTTATCCCATCATCTCTCTCCCCTCACTCCCTTGGGGACACAGTTCCTGCTTCTGTACTGAGACTCTGGATCCGTTTCTCTCAGCCCCCTAGAATCACCCCCTAGAATTTTTGGCTTGAGGCATGGGATGATAGTTTCAGGGTGTGATAACCAGGAAGATAAGGTCACAACTCAGGCAGAAGATACAGAAGATAGGAGTGGCTCTTAGGAGCCCTCTGCAGTGCCAGTCTTTGGCCTTCTTAGGCTGGTTTCAGGGGGTCCATGGGTCTTGAGGAGGATTGTAAGGGTCTGGTGGAAGCACTGAGTGTTTAGTATTCTCACATCAGGGTTGGGTACCACCTCTTGCAACTTCAAACAGCCAGTCCTGACTGATATTCTCCCCCTACCACACAGATAAACTTACAGAGGAAGAATTCATCGAGGGGACCTTGGCCAATATGGAAATCCTGCGACTGATCCAGTTTGAGCCTAAAAAAGTGAAAGAAAGGATAAAGGAAAAGAAACAGTGATGTGAACTGCCCAGCTCTTCCTCCCTACTCCATACAAACAACCCACAGTGCACACACACACACACACACACACACACACACACACACACACA